CCTGCTCGTTTCCGATTTTAAAGCATTTTAAAGATTTAAAAACGTAATTGTAACACAGTTAATGGGTTGATAATAATACAAATTTATTGCCACTTCATTAGCAATAATGTGTAGTTAATGCCGAACGAGCTTATAAAGTACTAAATATTTTGTTTGCCTAATGCAATTGTTAATGCTTTTGGCGGTAACAAATTGGCAGATGAGTTCGTTCCAAGTATTATAACTATATTTTGATTTATTTCAGATACAACGAGACCTGCCAAACCCGAGGAGGAGAACGGACGCAGCTATTACTTTGTCTCGCACGATGAAATGATGGCGGACATCGGTGCGAATGAGTACTTGGAATACGGTAAGGCACTCAGTCAACCCCATGAAAATTTGATAAACATCCGCTTGACTCCATGCAGGCACCCATGAGGACGCCATGTACGGCACCAAGTTGGACACCATCCGGCGGATTCACACCGAGGGCAAGATGGCCATATTGGATGTGGAGCCGCAGGCACTGAAGATACTCCGCACCGCCGAGTTCACGCCCTACGTCGTGTTCATAGCGGCTCCCTCACTGCAGAACATAGCAGATGTGAGTAGGAAACCATAGATAGACCAAAGCCGAAGCCATCTAATTGCTTTCCTTTGTACCCGTGGCAGTACGACGGCAGCCTGGAGCGACTGGCCAAGGAGTCGGAGATGCTGCGCCAGCTATACGGTCACTTCTTCGATCTGACGATTGTGAACAACGACATTAGCGAGACGATTGCCACGCTGGAGACGGCCATCGACCGGGTGCACACCACCCCGCAGTGGGTGCCCGTGTCCTGGCTGTACTGACAAGACAGCGAACTGGAATGCCCCGACTGCCTCGAGGGCTGTGACTGCGAGTGGGACGCCTACACGCAGGCCTCCAACGTAGCCCTGTACTGAGGCACAGATGCAGATACACGCCACATCACCACACAACCACACCATTAAAGTATTACCAAGGCACAAGCAACAGCAACAGCAACAGCAACTGAAGAAGCAACACAGCAACCACTACGAGAGATGACAGTCAGGACTGGAGGATAGAAGGCGCCTGGCGCCGAGCTATATAATTTAAGAATAAATGGGTATTATGGGAACTGGAACTGGAACTGGAACTGCGGTCGCAACGCAAGGACAAAAGTGTGTGTTAAACGACAGACAACCATTTGTATTTGCCTCTTTTTTGTTTTCTGTTACAACAGTATGTTTATTTTGTATTAATTTTAACCAATTGTATTTGCCATTCCATGCTCAATGTGTTATATTTTATGATTATGATTATTGTTTTGTTGTATTTGTTTTATTCTGCATTTAGTCAAAACAGCATTAAACGCTTATGTAAATCTTGCACTTGTTAGTGTCTAAGTTAACTGGAGTTAGTCAAATCGAAGCCGAAGAACTCCAAATTGTTTTTACCTAATGATTATTTCCGGTAAGAGTCTTGTGTGCAGGTAGGGCGTTGAGCGAGTTAGTAAATTATAGAAAAACTACGTAATTAAATATAATTAAACATAGACACAAGGAGACACAACTCAGCAGGAAGAACACGAAGAACAGAAAAAAATAAACAAATTACGATGTGAGCAATTTCAAGTGTTTCAAGCCAAGTAAGAACTAATTAATAACATATGGAAGATCAAGTGAAGACAGTGGTGAAGCAAAGTGCACGTTTTAAATGCAATAAAAAGAAAGGTAACAGAAAAACAAAAGATATAATTAATTCAGATCACAACACTTACACACGAAGGAAAAAGAAAAAAAACCTATAAAAACCAAAATACCAAATTGTTGACGTTTAATTGAATTCCATGAGAAATGAGTAAACCACAAAAAAAAATGCAATCAAACATAATAAAACAAAAAATACATAATAATAATTGCAGCCGCGTTTAATTCAAGCAAAAGCAAAGTAAACAAATGGAAAAAACATAGAGTGAGCACAAAACACACATACTAACTGCAATTACGAATTAAAATAATTAGCGAAAGGATGAGGAGATTGCAGGTCAACGCAAAACAGGCAGATAAACGTATAAATATATATGAAAAAATAAAAAAACAAGATGAAAGTAGGAAATTCAGAAAATATGTATACACAACACATATATATATTTTTCGAACAACTCAAACTCAGGTTGGATACATTGAAAATCAGTCAAGTTCAATAAGAATAATATAGCGGAGCGCTTCCTTTTAACCCACAGCCAAAAAACGAGAACTCAACAAGGAGACCCAAAAACCGAATCGAATCGAACCGAACCGAATCGAATAAGATCCTAAGTCGCTTTGCATTGAATTGAATTGAATTGAATTAATCGTACACCCACTGGCCCAGTAACCACCCAAGCAAGCAGCAGCTTCAAATTTTCGAGATACTTTACAAATGACACCGACAAACTGTCTTAGCAATGAAGAAACCTGGCATTTTTTTTAGTGCAGCTTCATGATCAGCAACCAGCGCTCAGCATTACCGTATTACCGCTTTTTCGCTCACTGTAGCCCTCGCATGGGAGAAATTTTGAGATTTTTTAATTAGCTTCCCTCACATAGAGCTTCTGAGATGGACGAAACCGAAACAGAAACTGAAACAGAATTTAGACTACGACTACGGAGTGCACAAACAATCACATACTATATGTAGTTGATGTGCCCCAAAACACGTACGTAGTTACTTTGGGTTAGGACCGCATCGAAGATACATCACAGACACTTGAGATCGAACTTAGTAGTAAAGCAAACCCATTTGTACACACGTGCCACGCAATTCTCTAGCTGTCCCTCAAAAACAATTTAAGCCTGAGCTTATATTCGAGCCCAACCACACGACCCACTTGAATTTCCCAACCGCACACCACACAAGATGATGAACATACTTATATCCAGAACAATTCTATGGTTTCAAAATGGTTGAACAATTTTGCATAGAGTATTATCGTTAGACGCTGGGCTATAACTTTTCGGTTCTGAGCGTGGATGAAGATGCAGCTGAAGATAGCAGCAATGAAGACGGAGAGAGAGGCAATGCAAATCATAGAAGTATCCCAAAAAAGCAGAACAACCGAACCTACCCGAAAAACTGAAGAACTAACTACCTACCCACAACCACAAATGCAGCCAAGTGGCCAAATTAACTAAGTATTATACCTTAAAGCGATCGAACGGGACGAGACGAGATGAAATGAGATGAGATGAGATGAGATGGGATGAGATGAGATAGGAGGAGGAACCTTATAGAGACACGGCTTGAGATGGATGTATGTACATTTTTTGAAGCTCCCCCAACCAGGCTAAGTGTGCCAGAAAACACCAAAAATCGATGAAATGATTAGGAAAAGAATGCTCAAATCAAAATCTTATATTTTACGGTATTACAATGATTAGGAACGATGGAAAAGAATTGCAAATTGGGGGGAAACGATACCGATAGAGAGTATCCCGAGATTGAGCTAGGATTTCGAAGGATTCGTTTCGTACTTTTACTTGATCCTTTTTTCTTAGCCGATGCGAGCAGATTGTAGCTGTACTCTAAGAATAATTTCACACTAAGATTAAGTAAAAATTTATTGTTGATATTACATAAAAAAGAAGAAGAGGAAGAAGCAGAAGTGAGATGAACACGGTCACGTAAACCAAATGAATTAGAATTTTTCTCTAATTTCATAAGTCAATGATGATGATGATGATATGATACCGAGGGTAAAGATGATGAAGCTGAGTTGAAAATGCTTATGATCTCCAATGTCAATATGTGTAGATTGACGCGATTTGAGCTAATTGAGTGAATTGTTATTATAATAATAAATGAAATGAAGTGAAATGAATGGATCGGCAGATCGATCGATCGTTTGGGGCGCAAATGGCCGCGGTGTTAGTAAATATCATTTAAAATAAATGATAAAAATGTCATTATATATACATAGTTTAAACATGGGATTAATAATAATAAATTAAAATGAGAAAGAACCGACGAAACTGGAATGAGAATTAAATAAAAACGAGTAAACACTGAAATACCGAATTTTAAATACATAAGTTTTGAATCATGCATGCTGCAAAGACAAAGCAAAACCCACACAGAAACCGAAACAAAAGTAATAAAACGAACTTCTATATAGAAAAGAGAAAAATATACGAGAGATACAATTTCAACCATCTTTTGCAATACTTTTCGAAAGCCCTTCCCCCCATCCCCTGCCAAAAAGAAAGAAAAAACCCCCATATCCGCAGCAAAAAAAGACTCCAAATCAGAACCTTTTCATTTCTTAGAAGCCAGCAGCGAATTTTGCAGAATTACCCAATGGCCAGTGGAAGTCAAGGCAAATGCGACAAAGCGGATGCCCTGCAGCCATGGCTCTTTGAGCTGCAGATACAGATACATTTGTATCTTGTGCTTCTAATTGAAACATTACACTCGAACTTCAAACGCTGTCGCCCAACACTCAACGTTTGACCCAAATTTGTTAGCATGTTTTCAAGGTAATGCGAATTTGATACTTTCGTTTTCGTTTTTATTTTTCGGCTTACTTTTGCTCTCATTAGTTTTTTCTTCGCACAAGCGCTACCAAAAGTTTTCGATTACTGGCCCCACAGTTCTATGCCAATCTTGGCAAGTCTGAGCCTAAAGTCTGAGGGCTAAGCTGCAATCATTTCAATCTGCCTCCCCCTTGAAGAAAACTGGCAGTTGAACGACGTGCTTGGAAATATTAATAAGCGGAAAAGCTGTCCCCCCAAAAACGCAGATGTCACCAATAGACATTTGTGCCAGGCCATTAGCATTAGCCATAGCCCACCATAGCACCACCACCGCTGGAGGAGCAGAACTTCTGCTGGCCGCCAGTCATTGAACTGCAGCTGCTGGCAGTGCCCAGTTGCTCGGTTGGATCGGACGACTCGACGCACAGCAGCAACATGTTGGAACGGATACGTATCGGCTGGTTCTCTGCGGCGATCGAGTTTTGGTAGCCAGTTTCAGTTTGGTTTTGAGTCTTCGCGCTGGAAGTTGTGCTGCTCGCGTTTGGAGTGTAAGTGCAGCCTCAGAAATTCCGGCCTGTGATTGCAATTGAAGGCACGTCGTCGTGTGTTTCGCTGTGTTTTAAGTCTGTTTTAGTGTTTGCTGTTCAGGGTACTTGACTGCCACTGTCTGCTGGTGTGTGTGTTGTTGGTTGTTGAAATCCGCGCGAACGTACATACACATGTATGTGTATGTAATCCGAACCACAGCGATCTATTCATAGGTCCGCCTTATAACTTGAGGGCGCCAACCAAGCCGCCGACCTCTGACCCACAAAGCGTAAGACACCGCAGACTTAACGATGCTAATGCCAGCCAGCCAGCCAGCCAGCCTTGTGCAATGGCCCCCGGTATCAGAGCGATAAGGCTAACCAGTGGCTAACCAGTGGCGGGCCAGAGCTCTAGAGCTGTGAATTAGTGGCGACTGGCACATAGAATTGGTCGGAGCTTCGAGCTTCTGTCCAAAATATAAGCCCGCTTCTGGTCGATGGTTACGTCAATTTCCATTCGCGTTCGAGTTCGAGTTCTCGTGTGCAGGTAAACAATACTACGCTACGCAACGCAAGACAACAAAAGTGGCAGCAGCAGCAGCAGCACCTCGCAGCCAAGACAACTTTTGTTTAGCACCGCTCAAGGAAACAACGCACACGGACCAAGCATAAAATTAAGCGCGACTTAAGCTGCAGACCTTATGCCCCACGTCCGTGCCCTTCGTGCGGCGTTTGCTCCAGGCCAGTGCCACAAAGAGCTCGTGAAATGCGCATAAAGAATCTCCAATTGACTGGACTACCGCAGTGCGGTGCACTGGCAGAAATGGGTTGAAAATCTAATAAGAAATTTAGTTTCAATTTGGTTTCAATCTGATAAAGGCCAAACAGCTTCTTCACTTTGAATGCTCTAAAATGAGTTCCTGGACTCGAAAACCACAGGTTTTTCGCCCAGTGCACAGGGAGTCACAGTTGAACGAGTTGATTTTCAGCTGCCTTTGCTTTGGAGTCCGAGTGCGCGCATTGAATTTTTGATTTAATTCGTCTTCTTCATCGCGAACTCCGGTTCGCGGCTTCTTTCTTTTTGGGTCTTTTGCACAAGGTTATGCGTCCGCTATTGTAAATACCCCACCGCCAAAACTAACTATCATTAAGTCACATAACACCTGCCTTTCGAGCGGTACGCGTACTTTGAACCTGGCCAGTTTGGCAATTGTGCGACAGTTTTTTGGAGAACTAAGCTCATTAGGGCATTAGATGCTAGCCAGAAGTGGGAAGCCTTCGAAAGCGGATTCTACAGCGAGTCGGAATTCCCGAAGCCGTATTTCAATCAGCGATTGCAATCTGTGAGGTTCATCTGTGAGGTCAAGACGGCTGATTGCAGCATGTAGCAAATATGTGCAAACAAATATTTCCTGGAAGTAAGCCATGTATGTACTGTAGGCAAATGAGAAGCTGAACCTTCTTCTTTGTTCCATTCAGTTCCATTACGGCCAATTTTCATTCAGTCACTCTTCCTGCAGTTTTGGTTTGTTTTTGCTGCTGCACAAGTTTAGCGACGCCTACATTTTATGGTTCACGTAAATAGTTAACAATTTGAGTCTCATCATGGCGGCTTTTGTGTTTTTTGTGTTTTTTGTTCTTTCTGTTTTGTCTGGCGCTGCGCTTCAGTGCGTCGGGTCGACAGGTGTGACTCACGAACGTGGCTAACACCCGGCTAACCTTTGTGTTTTTGGCCCACCAAACACGTCGCTCGTACTCTGATAACGGCTCGAATTAAAAGCTGCCCCGCCAAGCTGTTAGAATGTGTGTGTGTGAAGTTGTTTGGCTTCCTCGCCGGCCATACTGCTTGGCCAGAAGAAGAAGAAGGCAAACCGGTCCGCTGAGGTGTAGTGGGCCAACTATAGGAAAACGGTTACGAGGCATGCAAAATGTTTTTAGGAAATAATTTGCAAGCCAAAGCGACAGCCGAACCAATTTTGATGGCTATACTTTGTAGCTGCTTTTACGGCCGCAGAGCCAGCAGCGGCTAACTGCATCCACTTAAGCTGATCGGATGCTCCTGCTCATCATCACCAGCTGGTGGCCTCTACGCAACTCGCCGCAACTCAACTTGGCCGGTTCAAGTTCAGCGCCACTGAAGGTTCATGGCCAATTAGAGCGCGCTTATTCATTATCGCCAGTTTATAGAGTGGAAAACAAACACGGCGGCCCTGCAATTATTGCTGTTTAGTTAACCCCTTGTATCGCAACTGCTGCACTGGCTATAAAATATAAACAAACCATTGGAGTTGCGCGGTCGAAAACTTTCCGGTTTAAGTCTAAGTGACTTATGAGTTCGGATAGCTGGTCATCAATATGCACATGGCAATCAATAGTTACTTAGTCACCCGAATAAATTATTGTGGAATAGATCTGCCCCATTACCACGATGCATATATGGTATGCCATTTATTGTTATATGGCGAATTTTAGAAGAGATCCGAATAGGTTGTTTGCTTCAATTAAATGGCACTTATAGCAAGTTATACATTTATAGCAAGTGGTACATGCCATGGTAATGGCATGGAAAGGTTTCGCCTAATTAAAATGTAATCTTAGGCTTGCAAAATCCATAACTTCCCATTTATTACACCCTGTAGCTCTAACCTTGAATGCTGAGCGATGAGGTCGTGGCCTGGCCTTTTCTGGCTGCTGACCCTGGCGCTCCTGGCAGATGGAGGTCGTCGCGAGTCCCAGCTCCGGATCGGCAAGGCCATCAATATATTCCTGCGCTACGGCTACCTGGGCATCTCCATGCGGGTGATACCGCTCAATGACAACTCGGAGCCGGATCGCTGGGTGTTCAAGGAGCCCACCAAAAACATCTACAGGGTAAGGGAGCTAAAACCTGCATAAAACCTACATTTAATTAGTTAAAGGGGGTTGACGAACTCTGAGTTGTTGGTATCAACCTTTAACCATAATCATTTTGAGTATAATCTAAATTTTAAAGTAGAGTTCAAAGTTGTTATCACCTAAAACTATTTTTAGTTGTAACCTTTTTTGTTTACTTCCGCCACGTTTGTCGTTTTGAATGCACGCTCATTACATTTGTTTGACCAGTTTTTGGGAAAACGATCATTACAAACGATAATAGTTGCAAAACTTGACAATTTGGCTGAACAGATAACCAGATAGTTTCTGTGTTTTTCTTGTAGAACCTAAGTGGCCTGGCGGAGAGCCACGAAGACACCACACCCGGGATCTTCCACGGAGACTTTCACATGGAGTTCTGCGAGAACCGGAGGCAGCTGTTCCAGGCCTACTTCCGTGACTTTTCCATCGAGCAGATGGACAAGCCGTGGGAGGCATTTACGGCGGGATGGTTTCCGGACAATGCGGCCAAGAAGCTGGGCATCAATACGTCGTTTATCCAAGGCGATTACTCGTACGTTTTGGTGAGGGTGGTGCGCTTCAGGGAGACGGGTCGTCTGAACGCCGAGATTCCGGTGCACCAGCCATTGGAGCCGGATGTGCGATCGAGAATGGCTCAGCTGCAGATCGGAAACATAACCTCCGCAATCCGATTCATGGAGGACGTGGGCACCCACTACGTCAACTCGTACACCACCGGCAATTCGCTGTACCAGGTGTTTGTGTACAGCAGAAAGAACTACAGCATGATCAAGGAGCGCATCAAGAGTAAGGGTCTGAACGGGCTGTCCAAGCTGGATCTGTACAACTACTTTGCGCCCTGGTTCGCCACCCATCTCGGCCAGATTCGATCGGCTAGTGCCAATGCCACAGTGGAGAGATGGGCGAGAAGGAAGCTGCAGTACGAGTACTATGTGGTCAAGTATGTGACCCTGCTGAAGCTGCACGGTAATAGTACTCTCCTGCGATCCCTGGACTCGCTGCTGGGCAACGATGCCATCCTGCAGCTGGACCTCAAGTCGCTGAAGCCCATCTTCCGGGAGGAGCCGGAGAAGGAGAGCTGGTACCACGAGGTTCTCGACAACAATGTGAAGCTCTGGGAGCTCAACATGCCGCAGAATCCACCCAGCCGATAGCTGCATTTTGAATATATGTTTCGTGTGCGATATGTGGCAGCCAAGGATCAATAGTTCCTAGATGCTTAGTTGTAGTTAGGAGCCTCTAGTGCGTAGTTAATGTTCTGCCTGTGATAGTTTTAGGTAGTTTAATTGAACCAGAGTACACATCTGACTTGCATTTCAGCTGACTAGCCCGTAAGATCGCCTTTGTACTAGTTGTTTAAACTTTAATACAAATCGATGATAGAAGTAAAAATCTTACCTTTTTGAATACTTAATGCTGGCTATTAATATCGCGTTGTAATTCAAATTCGAATTTGATTTAGAAGCGGTGTGCGAAACGGGTAAACGGCTCCACCGTTTCATCAAAGTTTTCAACCAGCCCTATCCTAGTTCTCCACCTTTCTTAGTTTGTTTTGGTATATTTTTAGAACTGTGGGGCATATTTGAAACGGTTCACTTACGTTCATACTGAAATCCAAAATAGCACGTGCGGCGCATTTTGTATTTTGATTTTGACTTTGGTTTTGCCTAAAATAAATCTGCCGGCATGGATATGTTTTCCAATTGCCCGGGCTTTTGTCCCTCCTGCGGCTCCATTCTGCCCGAACTGCAAGTCAAGGGCAACGTGATTTGCTGCAACTGCCGGCAGGAGTTTCAGCCAGACGGTAAAAACAGAATTTACGCCTTAAATTTTATTTGTTTAACTTTTGCAAACAGTTTACAGCGGCGAGAAGTCCGAGTTCACCATACACTTCAACACCTACGATCCCAGCAAGGTGTTCAGCAGGACGAAGAGGGAGTCGGAGGCGGACGCGGATGGGCCCGTCGTGGAGAGGAAGTGTCCCAAGTGCAACCACGACAAGATGTCCTATGCCACGCTGCAACTTCGATCGGCGGACGAGGGCCAAACGGTGTTCTTCACCTGCCTCAAGTGCAAGTAGGTGTCCTGATAATCACAGTGCTGCACTTCGTCAGTTAATCACACACATTCTATCTTGCAGATTCAAAGAATCGGAAAACTCTTAGTTGCTAGCAGTGTCCGTGTAAATAGTCTTACAATTAGTGAAAGTAGTCATGCTCGACGGCCTGGGAAATACAGAATTTACCAATTACACTACCTCACCGGTCTTAGTCTTGGAGCAGTACCCACCTCGCTGGCCTTCAGTCGGTTTTTGGGATTGTAGACCACTAGATTCGAGACCAGATTGATTTCCACCGCATGTGTGCAGCTGGGAAACAAGTTGTCCCAGTGAATGCCCACTGAGTTGGGAAACCTAAGTCAAGAAATTGAATGGTTATATACAGCAATCGTGGAGGGAAGGAACACCTACCGTATCTTGCTGTAATCCGGCAGGGAAGTCAGCTCCGGCCACTGATTCAGACGTGGACTGCCCAGAGTGCGAATGATGATGGCCAATTGCTCGATGTCGGTGGTGCCCGCAAACAGAGGCACTCCGCGTAGCATCTCCGCTACTACGCAGCCTGAATAGCGATAATATTTGGCTACAAATCTACACGTCAACTCAACAACATGTAAAGACTCACCTGCCGCCCACATATCCACTCCGGTTCCGTACTTCTGGCTGCCGAAGAGAATCTCTGGAGCCCGATACCAGCGGGTTGAGACCTGAGGCGAATAGAGGCGCGCCTCCTCTTCAGGGAAGTACAGACGTGCCAGTCCGAAGTCGGCTATCTTCAGCATGTCGGTATCGCTGATCAGCAGGTTGGCTGGCTTGATGTCCCGGTGCATCAGACCTGCTTCATGCAGGTACGCAATCCCCTTGAACATTTGGTGCGCAAACTTGCGCACCTGCTGGCGGCTCAGGGGATTCACCTCGCTCTTGAGCCGATTGTACAGGGTGTCCGGCTGGTACTCCAGCACCAAGGAGAGACCCGTAAGGTCAGGATATATGTCGATGATGTCCAGAATCTGCAATGAGTTACATAATTGAAAGCATGCCGAATGGTGCATGGCTAACTCACATATTCAGACTTGCAGAGCTGCAGGGTCTTGATTTCCCTCAATGTGTTTAGGGCTATGTTCCCGAACTTGTTCTTGAGGGCCACCTTTTTGATGGCCACCTCCTTGTTGCGCTGCAGATCGATGGCCTTAAACACGCACCCATGGACGCCCTCGCCGATTTTCTCGAGCATTTTATAGCGGCTTGGCGCATAGTCCTCCATTATGACTACTCACAATTTTCACTTTGGTAATTTTCCGAGCGTTTTCTACATCGTTATTCGTCACCAGTAGTCCATGGCAACACGGGCACAACAAATGCGATGGAACCAGGAACCAGCTGACGGGACCACCTGTTGCAGGATGTTTACAAACGCCGTGGGTTCGCGGTAATTATGGGGGTTGGAAAGCCTAGGCCAAGGCGGAGCAGTGACAGCTTTCGGTTTAAGGACATGCGCACTTCCTGCCTCGAATTCCTCCTGTCAGCCAAGTGTCAAGTCAGGGGGATACATAATTTTTCGGACCCTCGCACTGCAGAAGTTCTTCGTTGGCAGAGATTTGATGTGAAATAAGTGCTTCAAATGGCAGCGGCAGTGAAATAAGAGCCAGTTCTGGATTAAGCAAGCTGGTAGGTTAATTAAAACACATAAATCTAAGATTAAACAGGCTGCAAATCATGGTGAACAACCCATGCGGAGTCGCTCCTTCGCATTAACGAGGATACTAAATAATGCACGACTCCTTTTGATCATCAAATTGCCTTATAATTACAAAACGTGCCAGCATTGCTGCAGCAATTTGAAGCAATTTTGCTGGCCTGGCCTTAGCCTTGCCCCACCTGTCCTGTAAAATTGCATGCGAGTACCAAGAAACACGGCTAGAGCGTAGAAAATACACACCCACTGGGCGCAGCCTTGCCTCGACAGCCTTGGCTCACCCGAAACCACCCACTACCATTCACCACCCACCACCCACAACTTGGCTCCAAGTTCACGTCCTCGATATGCGCCATTCACATTTAGAATTGCTTTGCAGCCCACGCGGTCAACATGTTCCGGCCAAGTTGCTTTCCATTCGCCAGCCTGCTGTTCCTGCTCCTGGGGAGCACCGCCTGGGGCAGGACCGCCAAGAGATCGGACGTCTACATAGCGGGATTCTTCCCCTACGGGGATGGCGTGGAGAACTCCTACACCGGACGGGGCGTTATGCCCAGCGTAAAGCTCGCCTTGGGCCACGTTAATGAGCATGGCAAGATACTGACCAACTACAGGCTGCACATGTGGTGGAACGACACTCAGGTGAGTTAGGGCTAGGCATGTAATACAAGAAACTTGAGTGAAAGTCAATACAATCTCTGAAGTGCTTGTGGATTTTAGAGTTAAGTGATGTAAATGTAATTGAATGTAATTTGTTTCCAGTGCAATGCTGCTGTGGGCGTAAAGTCCTTCTTCGATATGATGCACTCGGGCCCCAATAAAGTAATGCTCTTCGGCGCCGCGTGCACCCATGTGACCGATCCCATAGCCAAGGCCAGCAAGCACTGGCACCTCACCCAGCTGAGCTACGCGGACACCCATCCCATGTTCACCAAGGATGCGTTTCCCAATTTCTTCCGGGTGGTACCATCGGAAAACGCCTTCAATGCGCCGCGCCTGGCGCTGCTCAAGGAGTTCAATTGGACCAGAGTGGGCACTGTTTACCAGAATGAGCCGCGCTATTCGCTGCCCCACAATCACATGGTGGCCGATCTGGATGCCATGGAGGTCGAGGTGGTGGAGACGCAGAGCTTCGTCAACGATGTGGCCGAGTCCTTGAAGAAACTGCGCGAGAAGGACGTGCGGATCATCCTGGGCAACTTCAACGAGCACTTTGCACGCAAGGCCTTCTGTGAGGCTTATAAGTAAGTGTGATGTACCAACTTATGAGTAACCTCACTTATTTTAACCTATTAAAAAAAACTCACCTTCAGATTGGACATGTATGGCAGGGCCTATCAATGGCTGATCATGGCCACCTACTCCGCAGATTGGTGGAATGTCACGCAGGACAGCGAATGCAGTGTGGAGGATATCGCCACAGCCTTGGAAGGCGCCATTCTAGTGGATCTTCTGCCCTTGTCCACCAGTGGCGACATCACAGTGGCTGGAATTGTAAGATTTCGACTATTTATTACATTTCCCCTAATGAATTTCATAACTTGCTAGACTGCCGATGAGTATCTGGTGGAGTATGACAGACTGCGAGGCACTGAATACTCCCGCTTTCATGGTTACACCTACGATGGCATCTGGGCAGCCGCCTTGGCCATTCAGTATGTGGCCGAAAAGCGAGAGGATCTGCTAACACATTTTGATTATCGCGTGAAGGACTGGGAGAGTGTCTTCCTTGAGGCTTTGCGAAATACATCCTTTGAGGGTGTGACGGTAAATAGACAAACAAATGTGTTTTACTAAATTTAAAACCTATTTCACATATCCTAAGGGACCCGTACGCTTCTACAACAACGAACGCAAGGCCAACATCCTGATCAACCAGTTTCAGTTGGGGCAAATGGAAAAGATCGGGGAATACCACTCACAGAAGTCGCACCTGGACTTGAGCTTGGGAAAACCAGTCAGATGGGTGGGCAAAACTCCTCCCAAGGATCGCACTTTGATCTACATCGAGCACAGTCAGGTCAACCCAACCATATACATCGTATCAGCTAGTGCTTCGGTCATCGGGGTGATTATTGCCACGGTTTTTCTGGCCTTTAACATCAAGTATCGCAACCAAAGGTGAGAATATGATGGTATTTTCAACTAATTCTCTTAATTAAACCTTATGTTTTACAGATACATCAAGATGTCCAGTCCGCATCTGAACAACCTGATCATTGTGGGCTGTATGATGACCTATCTGAGCATCATTTTCCTGGGACTGGACACCACTTTAAGTAGTGTGGCGGCCTTTCCCTATATCTGCACAGCTCGAGCCTGGATCTTGATGGCTGGATTCAGTCTCAGTTTCGGAGCCATGTTCTCGAAGACGTGGCGTGTGCATTCCATATTCACCGATCTGAAGCTCAACAAGAAGGTGATCAAGGACTATCAGTTGTTTATGGTCGTGGGCGTGCTTTTGGCCATTGATATAGCCATCATAACCACCTGGCAGATTGCTGATCCCTTTTACCGCGAGACCAAACAGTTGGAGCCCTTGGTGAGTGGATTTATATTACATATTTGAAGTGGCAAATCGAACATGATTATTTTCCACAGCATCACGAGAATATTGATGATGTTTTGGTGATCCCCGAGAACGAGTACTGCCAGTCCGAGCACATGACCATATTCGTTAGCATTATTTATGCCTACAAGGGACTGTTGTTGGTAAGCTAGAGGTTATAAGCTTGTTATAAATCATTATGAAATAATTCTTTTTTTTCCCATAGGTCTTCGGCGCCTTTTTGGCCTGGGAGACTCGACATGTTTCCATACCGGCTCTAAACGATTCCAAGCATATTGGTTTCTCGGTTTATAATGTGTTCATCACTTGTCTGGCCGGCGCGGCTATATCCCTGGTGCTATCGGACCGAAAGGATTTAGTTTTTGTCTTACTCTCGTTTTTTATCATTTTTTGTACGACAGCCACTTTGTGTTTGGTGTTCGTACCGAAAGTAAGACTGGTAGTAAGGAAGTTTTGTAGTTTTTGTAGCTGTTATATGTTACATATGATAATCGTGTAATATGAATGTTGTTTGTCGGCGGTAATAGACCGATCAGTTTCTGGCTAGATCTTTCAAACTGATCGGACACTACCGCCAGCTGAGCTGATCTTTCGTCTAGCGTTTATACACTTTGAAACAGAAACAACATGTACTCGAAAACAGATCCTAAAATGCTATATAACACTACAGACTAACTATAAACTTGACTATATAGAACCCACTAAGAGCAGCAGCAAGGTTGTGGTCAAATCCCACTTCCTTGCTGTTGCCATATCTTTAACTGTCCTATTTCGCTGTCCGTAGATTTGGTCCTTCCTGAATGTTGACCATGTAGTATAATCTTTGGTTAATATTCATGCGAATCGTTTTGCAGTTGGTGGAGCTGAAGCGAAATCCCCAGGGCGTGGTGGACAAGCGCGTCAGGGCCACGCTGAGACCCATGTCCAAGAACGGACGACGGGACTCCTCGGTCTGCGAACTGGAGCAACGATTGCGGGATGTGAAGAACACAAACTGCCGATTCCGAAAGGCACTGATGGAGAAGGAGAACGAGCTGCAGGCCCTCATCCGCAAGCTGGGACCCGAGGCACGCAAATGGATCGATGGGGTGAGCTGCACGGGTGGCTCCAATGTCGGTAGCGAACTGGAGCCCATCCTGAGCGATGACATCGTTAGGCTCTCGGCTCCACCGGTGCGTCGAGAGATGCCCAGCACCACAGGTGAGTGGTTGAGGCGGGGCAGTTCGTAGATATGTTCATGCATTGCAACCCGTTTGTCATAGAAGTTACCGAAATGACGTCTGTGGATAGCGTGACCTCGACCCATGTGGAGATGGACAACTCCTTTGTATCGGTGCAGTCCACTGTGATGGCGCCATCGCTTCCTCCGTAAGTTTCCTAATTTTACCTTTAAATACACACTAATCTCTGCAGTTTCTGCAACAGCAAAAAGAAAAAGCAGTCCATTGTGGAGCACCACTCGCATGCCCCAGCTCCAACCATGATGCAGCCCATCCAGCAGCAGCTGCAGCAGCACTTGCAGCAACACCAGCAGATGCAGCAGCAGCACCTGCAGCAGCAGCAGCACCAGCAGATGCAACAGCAACAGCATCATCACCGCCATCTGGAGAAGAGGAACTCAGTGTCCGCACAGACCGATGAGAATATCGGGAGCATTACCAGTACGGCGGGCAAGCGCAGCGGAGGAGACTGCTCCAGCATGCGGGAGCGGCGTCAGTCGACCGCCTCCAGGCACTACGACAGCGGCAGCCAAACGCCCACCGCCCGGCCGAAGTACAGCAGCTCACACCGGAACTCCTCCACCAACATCTCCACATCGCAATCGGAGCTGAGCAACATGTGTCCACACTCGAAGCCCAGCACTCCGGCTGTGATTAAGAGTAAGTTGTCTTCTACTCCCCCACACGAAAACGTTAGTTATTTAATCGATTTTCGAAATGAAAATAGCTCCCACTGCCTCCGACCATCGCCGCACCAGCATGGGCGCGGCCCTGAAGTCCAACTTCGTGGTGTCGCAGAGTGACCTCTGGGACACGCACACGCTGTCGCACGCCAAGCAGCGCCAGTCGCCGCGCAACTACGCCAGTCCGCAGCGCTGTGCGGAGCATCATGGCGGTCACGGGATGACCTATGACCCGAACACCACCTCGCCCATCCAGCGGTCCGTCTCCGAGAAGAACCGCAACAAGCACCGGCCCAAACCGCAGAAGGGCACCGTTTGCCAGAGCGAGACGGACAGCGAACGGGAGCGGGATCCGCCGCCAAGCAGTCAGCCATGCGCTCAGCCGCGCAAGGTCAGCCGCAGCTCCAACATCCAGCACGCCGCCCACCACCACAGTTCGCCCAATGTGGCGCCCGACAAGCAGCGGAGCAGGCAGCGCGGCAAGCAGGAGAGCAGCATCTACGGCGCCAGCAGCGAGACGGAGCTTCTCGAGGGCGAGACGGCCATTCTGCCCATCTTCCGGAAACTCCTCACCGAGAAGAGTCCCAACTATCGGGGCCGCAGTGCCGTCGGCCAGAGCTGTCCGAATATATCCATCAAATGCGATATCGTTGAGTACTTGTAGGCGGTTCGAGGGATATGCATTATGCCGTAGTCAAACTCTTATTGTTAGATCCAGTTGCAGTGTAAAGATTACCCTTTGTTTTCTTCGGAGTTGCGCATCTAAGTGCCCTGTGAGGCAGGACACACACCATTTAGCGAACTAGTAGCAATACCATGAGATAGTTGGGAAATAAATTACAATTTAAAGTAATCATATAGCTGCTCTTGTTACCCCTTTAACTGGCTGCAATTTTCATAGGCACATCTTTCACTGTGGACAAGCAGAAACGGCAATTTTAATGAGCAATTCTATGAGCAAATGGGTATGAGTGCTAAACTGGGGGGAATCTATTGCAGTGCGATGCGCCGGAAGTGATTGTTGAGTGGACCTTCGTCCGAATAGCCGGCAATTTCCTGTGGTATGATGCCAGACTCCTCGATGGAAGTGCATGGCCGACACATGCACTCCAATGGCGCCTTGGTCAGCACCTTCTTGAACTTGCGCTCGCCGGGCTTCACTTTGGGACAGAACAGCGAAACGGAAGCCTCCCGCTCACCAGACTCCTGGCAGCACATGCAGGAGCGCTCCATCTGCCAGATCTTACTGCCCGAGACCTAAGGAATCACAAAATGAGTGGCGAATTTGTGGCCATTCATATATCTGGCATAATATTGCGCAAGACCCACCTGGATGTAACTGGCACAGCGACCCACACAGGCGAACGAGGGAATCGGCTTGGGCACACATCCGGGATACTGGAGCACATGGATGACGGGCGTCACCTGGCAATCGTCGCCCAAGTGCGTAATATCTGGTAAGTGGATGGTAAATGGAATCCCTTAGAGCTAATATGCTGTTATGCTGTTATCAAATCCCAGTACCATTATCGGTGGCGGCCACCGCGCCATCCGGCTGAGCCGTGCAGAGCTTCAGGATGCTGACCAGGACGCAGTAGAGCAGGACCAGGACAAAGACCTTGTTGTTCTCGTGGCGGATCAGGTGGCGCAGCATCTCGTCGGCCCGACTGCTAGTGTCCTTTCGCGAGGAATGGAAAGCGCCACTTGCAGCCGGGGGGCTTTTATAGACCGACTTGGCCAGCGGTTGCCGCTCTAATGGCTTAATGCCGCTCGACAGCGTAAATTATGGCCTAATAAAGCAAGGGCCGTCCAAACCTTTTTGCCTAGTAATTGCGTACACGAAAAGGGCATTTCTCCCGCAGCGCATGACCACGACAATCTCTTTATTTCCCTCACAACCTATTAGCTAATCAGAGCCAGGCCAACCCAGAGCCCAGGCTGCCCACTGCCAGCAGCAGAACCAGCGCCAAGGAAGCTGCTCCCAGGCAGGAGCTGCCATTCCTGTCCGCCAGATATTTGACCAGTCCCTTCAGATGGCTATCCGCCCAGTTCAGGTTATTTTCCACGGTGACCAAGGACTCGGCGAGCAGCGCTTCCGATTTACCGAACAACTGGTGGTTGCTATCGTAGAACTCCTTGAGCAACTGCTGCTGCTGCCGGGTGGTGAAGTACTCCGCCATGTCATGGATCACTTCGGCCGTATGCGACCAACTCTGGAAGCTGAAAGGCAAGAAGGTTGCGTGTGCAATAAATGGATAGTGCAATGCTGGTCGAGAACTCACTCATCCGCCAAAATCACGATGTTTTCGGTTATCATTTCAAAAATCGGCTGAACCAAGTCAGGATTCTCCTCGTACATACGGGCTATGCCAATTTTCTTTTGCTCAATACTCTCCGGACTAGAGATGATCATCTTGTGGTAGTGATTCCTGTAGTCCCTTGTGCAGCCGATTGCAGCCCAGAGCATATTCTTTTCGCTGGCGCGGTTCTCCAGATAGTACTGAGCCCACACCATGTTGTAGGCATTGGAATCGGCGCCGCTGGCTGCGCAGTAGAAGGTGGCCCGGTAATCCGGCGACGGTACTTCATGGCTTGTTACGAACTGCACGTTGACCTTTGGCCTGCAATTGCTGGCCTGGTATCTGCAGAGCCATTGGATCAGTTTGTTGCGATTGGCCACATCCAGCGGCGTATCCTGGGCGTTCCAGCCAACTCCTAGTGCTTCAAAGACAGCTGCTGTGATGTCGGAAAGATATATCCGGAAGTCGGGCAGCTGTTCAGGCGTCAATCGCTTCGCTACCGTGTTCAAGTTCTCATAGACGGCATACCAGGGCACGTACGCCACTTCCTTGGCCAGGTATTCCAGGAACTTGAATACCTCAGCATAGTCCACATACTGTACTTGCGCGAAATTGAAGAGATCATCAATAAGTTGAGCCCGGTTCTCAACAGGAATTCCGCTGTAATTCGATGCAGAGATGGCCAAGCGGAGGCCTTCCCTTAAGGTGGCGTCATAAAACACGCGTTGGTAGTTCGACTGCCTCAGGTTAAGCAAAATCCAGTCGATTTGACTGTCAAAACTCAGCCAAAGTACATTAACGGGCTTGTGTAGGTATTTATATGGCGTCAGGTTGTAGAAATTGCGTTCCAGATTAGTGGTGAAAGTTATGGGCACTGTGTACTTCAGTGTAGCATTACTGCCATCGTCTTTGTTGAGCAGGAACCGCGACTGCTCCACAGTGACGACTTTGTTACCCTGTAAAGCCTTCACAGTCAACACGGGGTAGCCAACCTGCTCCGTGTAATCGCTGAAAAAGTCCACCAGATCCACATCATGGTTCTTTGGCCAGTGATCAAAGAGATGGTAAAATAGGTTATTGGGCACAGTGGTGGTCAGGTGACTGGAAACAGATATCAGTAATGCAATTAATATTCCCTTATCAACATTAAGGAACTCTTCTGGCAATGACACATGGCAGATAAGCATTTTCGCCTCTAATCAAAATAGACTCAACTCACTATTGCTGCAGGTAACTCCTGATGGCCGTGTCAAAGTTCTGGGCTCCCATGAGATTTCGCCACATCCGCACAATGCAGGCGCCCTTGGCATAGGCGATCCCGCTGAACTTGTAGGCAATCTGGGAGGGGGTTTGGATCTCCGACTCCGGACTCGTCATGGGTTGACTACTGTTCCGGGCATCCGCGCCAAAGATCAGCTGCATTTGGCGCACCACAAACTGCTCGTCCAAGTGATACTCCGGATAGAGCTGAATGGATTATGTTAAAGTGCTGCAAAAACATGTATTCGCATCCACATCCCACCTGATGTGCCATGAAGTACTCGTAGTAGCGGGCAAAGGCCTCATTGAGCCAGAAGTAGCTCCACCAGGAGAAGGTCACGCTGTCTCCGAACCACATGTGTGAGGTCTCATGGGCGATGATGCGTATGGCGTGCTCCTTATGCGACCAATCATCCGAGTAGCCTGGTTCCTGAACCAGGACTTCATCGCTTTTCAGCAGCAGCAAAGTGAAATATATTTATTTTGCCATCTTTCAACTTTCAGCACACTCACCTGTAGATGATGAGGCCCCAGTTTTCCATGCCGTTGTGCGGAAATCTGGGCGAACTGGCATACTGGAGCACGTCGTTGCCCAGCTCTGCATAGGGACTCTGGAACAACTCCTCGTAGGCTGGCACCACCTGCTGACCCACATGGTAGCTGAACTCCGTGTTGTTGTAAAACTCCGGACGAGTGAGCACTGCGAATTCACTCTCATTTCCACGGGCGGAATAATCGGCCACCATGAAGGCCAGCAGATAGGTGGACATGACGGGGGTCTCCTCAAAGCGATCGACAAAGCGATCTTGGCTTGAATCAAGGGTAAACGGTTAAGCTAAACCTATTTGATTTATATAAAGCTTATTGATTTACCTGATGGCTGTCGTTTCTTTCAGCCTGGTGTTGGCAATGGACTGATACCCGTCGGGCCGGACAACCTGCAGCTGGAACTGGGCCTTCATGGCGGGCTCATCGAAGCAGGGCAGTACCAAACGAGCGTTGATGCGCTGCATCTGGGTGAGCGCCAGCCACTTGGTTGCATTGGTATCCCGCGCCACATAGCTAGCGGAGAAGAAGCCGGCCATGTCCGTTCGTATGTGCCCGGTGTACTTGAACCCAAGCGTATAATCCTGCCCTGGCTGCGCGGCCTGCGTCAGCGGAACCCTCACCTGTTGGGTGGCGGCCTCATAAATCAGCCGGCTGATATCGATGGCCTCCACCCGTGCACCAGCCGCATCCAAAAGCCAGCATTCCGTAATGTCGAGCGTATCAGCATGTAGAATGATTTGTTGCACCTCCAACGCACCGACCACCCGCAAGGTAATGCTCACTTCGCCATCGAAAATGGTGGGCTCGGCAGAGTTCCGCAACACGCCGATGGTCAGGTTGTAGTGCGTTGGTACGACGCTGCCGTCCAGCCGATAATCAGCGGCATTCGCGACGCAGAGTAGCAGTGGACAGAGCAGCCAGGAGGCCCTAAAGATCGAACTGCTCATGGCGATCGAAGCTCGAGTACTGGAGTGTTGGATTCGGACACGCTCTGCTAGATCGCCGAAATCAGCAAGTCAAATGAAAGTCCCCTCCCCGCAAAACAGATGATTAGATTAGCGGAATGTTCAACCAGAATTCGAGATGTCGTCACACTTCTCTCAGTGAAATATTCTTATCAGCGCGCCATTGGGCACTTATTAAATGCTGTATGCCAATTATCATTTCAATTACCACTGACGGCTGCTTAATGAGTTTTAGTCAGGGAACCTATTGCCATTTTGATTTGTATAGCTTAGCACTTTAAAACAAGAGATAAAGCTAGTAGAGCCCCCGCCTGATCTCAACTAACTAGGTTTTTCAGTTCCATACGGACAGACGACAAACGGACAAACGGACATACGGACAAACGGACATACGGACATGGCCAGATCGACTTGGCTAGTGATCCTGATCGAGACATTAATTAGGTGAGCCCAAATCGCTTTCTTCTAGCGGTTACATACTTTTCAACGAATCCAGTAAACTCTTTTACTCCAGGAGTAAGGGGTATCTCCTTCAAAAGATTAAACGGTAAAAAAGTCCCTCTACTATCCATTCACCATTATGGCGGAAAGTCCAATGTGGTACTGAATACTACAATTGATAAGATGCGATAAAGATTTTGTTTTTATTTGGCTTCCACGAAAAGTGAATCAACTCAGCCAGAATAGGTGGTAAGATCGATATCTGCAAGACAACATCGTAAACGAGCTAGCAATAAAGATAGTAATTTATTAGTTATGTCGGTCAGCTTGCACTTCAGGGATAGTTTTTTACCCTCAACTGGTCTTGCACTCAAAGAAAAACCAACAAATTAAAAAAATCCCCTAATGGCTTAACCTAGTTTGATTTATTATGCGCCAGGATTCAACTGATGGTCCATACAATCTAACAAAAACTAATAACTACAATCTAATAAATACCCTTTTGCCCGTAATTTCGGTAAAACGCTAAGGAAGAAAAATAGTTTATTGTTCTAAAATGAATTTATGACCACTTAGTGATCAATGTTCCGAACTGAATCACCCTAATCAGATTGTAAACTCTGTCATATAAGCCTACTTTCCTGATCGATTTGTGGAATATCAGTAATAATTCAGTACAACAGCGGCTTATCGACAAAATGGTGTTACTTTATTGGCTGCTTTTTTGCGTACAAATACTTTATGGCCTAGGGACTACTCCTGACCCGATCGCTAATCCCTGCTCAGTTACGCAGCATGGTGACCAGGGCCACCATCAGAAGGCTGAGGGCACTGAAGGCGTTGACCATGGCGCTACCACTGCGATAGTTTCTCAGGTAGCTGCGGAAAACGCCCAGCTTGGCTGTTGCCCAATCCAAATTCTCCCTAACGGTTGCCTCGGCGGCAATCAAAGTGGCCTCCGAGCTGCCGAATTTGGCGCCATTGGCCTTGTTGAAGCTCTGCAGATCGGTCAACTGCTTCTCGGTGGTGAAGCGGGCGGCGATGTTGGATATCACAGTGGCCACAGCGGAGTAGCCGCCCATGCTGCAGAAAGAGGGCAATTATAGAATGTCCAAATAGGGGCAATAGGGTATACTTACGCATTGGCCAATGCCTCGTGCTTCTGAGTGACCAGCGCGAACACGGGACTGACGTTCTCGTTGTTCTCCGTGTAGAGAGTGGACAGCACGGAGGACTTGTCCTGTCGCCGAATCTCGTCGCTGATGATCAGATCGAAGACCTTCTCGACCAGCGCCTGTGTCTTGACGCAGCCGAATGAGTTCTGGAGCAGCGTCTCCTCGGTGGCCACGGTCTCCTGCTTGAACTTGTTGTACAGAGCCTGGAACTCGGCCTCGCCACCTTCGCGCAGACCCACACAGTAGACGGTGGCGCGAATGTTCTTGGGCACGGTGGTCAGCGATTGGAAGTAGCCCTGGGCCTTGCTGATGCAATCGGAGCTGCCGTAGCGACAGGCCCAGGAGAGGATCTTGGTGCGCAGGTAAATTTCCAAGGCTGTGTCACTCGAAGACTCATTGAAGCCCAGCTGATTGTAGGCCTTGTTGGTCAGGGTCTGAATATAGTTGTTGAAGTCAGCCGTGTCGCTTCCGAGGCGGATGGTCAGGTAGTTGAAGCCGTTGAAGGCCGATGTCCAGGGTATGTAGTTCGTCTCCGTCTCCAAGTACTCGATCACGTCCAGGGTGAGGTTGTACGAGACATAGCCAGCCCTGGCCAGATTGAACAGATCATCCACGATCTGGGCGCGATTGTTCTCGTGAATTCCACCCCAGTTAGCGGTGGCCAGAGCATGATGGATGGCATGCCAATTGTCCTCCGAGTAGGTGACGCGGTAATATCCGGTCTGCTGGATATTGACCACAATCCATTTCGGTGTTGAGGGGAAGCTAACAGTCGTGGTTCTGCTGGGACTCAGGATAAACTTTGGCGTGGCGTTCAAGAAGTTGTTTGCTTCACTGGTGGTGTAGGAAATGGGCACAGTGTATGTCAAGGATGAGTCGGAACCGTCGCTCTCCTTCAGCAGGAAACGCTTCTGGGTGAAGCTGACCGTCTTGTCGCCAACATTTACACTAATTAGTGGGTAGCCCACCTGCTCGGTGAAGCTCTTGAATATATCCTCGGAGCTGGCATTGTAGCTGGAGGTGGGCCATTCGGCCTGCAAGGCACCCAAAAGATATTCGGGCAAAGACGCCCGATACTCGCTGCAAACAGAAGGTATCCATAGTATATGCACGTGTCAAGCCAAATAATTTCCCGCTACTCACTATTTCGTCAGGTATTTCTGCAGGGCCCTCTGGAACTCATTCTCGCCCATGGTGTGCTTGATCATACGGATGATGGTGGCACCCTTGTTGTAGGAGATGCTGTTGAACATGCGGCTGAGATCGGCGGGCGTGTAGGTGTTCTCATCGCTCAGCGGATTGGTGGCGTTGGTGGAGTCCATGGCCATTACCGACTGCACCTGGTCCACCACAAACTGCTTCTCCAGCTCCCATTTGTCCTCGACCATGGCGGTGCCAAAGTACTGGAAATAGCGAGCGAAGCCCTCGTTCAGCCAGGTGTAGCTCCACCACTTGCAGGTGACCAGATCACCGAACCACATGTGCGCCTGCTCGTGAGCCACCACGGCGGCGATGGACTGGCGGGAGGCCAAGGTGGTCGCCGACTCGTCCACCAGCAGGGAACGCTCCCTGTAGGTCAACAGACCCCAGTTCTCCATGGCTCCGGCCGAGAAATCAGGAATGGCGGCCATATCCATCTTGTCGTTGCCCATAGAGTAGTAGTCCTTGTCCAGGTACTTGCCCATCTTCTCCAAAATCTGAATGCCCACATTGTAGGGGTACTGGGTCTGGGTGTAGTACTCGGGACGTGCATAAACTCCGAAGTCGTCATCCTTACGGGCCACAAACTCGGAAATGATGAAGGCCAGGAGATAGGTGGACATTTTGGGTGTCGTCTTGTACACGTCCGCGAAATATCCTCTAGAATCGGGTAAAATAAAACATGATATTCAGAACAAGGAATAACTATAACTATACTCTCGATTGGTAACCAAATCGTTGAATTCGTTAACCAATGCCAGTTCTTCAGATGAGCAGTAAGTAGTGGAAGTTCTTACTCTTCGGAGGTGGGATAGGACGAGATCAGACGGGTGTTACTGGCCGAGTTGAAGGTCCTGTGTCGCTGCAGCGTGACATCGAAGGTGGCCTTGAACTGGGGCTCATCGAAGGAGGGGAAGGCGCGACGGGAGTGGTGGGTCTGGAACTGGGTGGATCCCAGCCACTTGGTGACATTGTTGTCGTCCACATAGGAGCTGCGATAGAAGCCGTGCATATCGTCCTCCATCAGACCGGTGTACACGAAGTGCAGAATATATGCCGTATTAGCCGTCAAAGTATTTGATAACGTTAGCTTCGTAATATCCGTATCATCGTTCGCTGCAAGGTTACTGAATGGGATGACCGTGGGATTGGGCACTGCGGCTGTTGGCTTCTGCCAGAACTCCCTGACCGAATAGATGAGGTTTTTCGAGTGGATGTAGACTTCGTCTGTGGTTTTATTCGAGATCACCTCGATAAACACCTCGCCGTCGAAGGTGAACCTCTTGGAACCGTCGGTCTCCAGCAAATACGGTCGCAGCGTAATGTTGTAGTTAACCGGTGTGACGAAGTCGGGCAGGCGGTAATCCTGTGGAGCAGTGGCGAACGTCGCCGGCGGCTGAGCGTCCACGGCCAGTTGCCGAGTTCCTGCCGAGGCCAAGGACACACAGGCCACCAGGAGAAGGGCCACTCGCAGGGCAAACATTCTTCCTGCTGATGAAACATTAAAAGGAATCAAGCTTAATGATTGTGAGTGCGCATTTAACGAATTTTTTACTTCATTAGTTTGAAAATTATAAAATTATACTTTTTTAAGCTGGCAAAGCAGAAAATATACCACTTATTTTAGCCCTAGTACGTGTCCTCCAAGCTTTTTCAATTTTTTCAAGGATATTTGCGTTGTACTACACTACAGTGATCACCACTTATATAATCACTATTAAACTCACTTTTCAAGGGTTCGATCGCGCGCCTTGGACTAGAATTAGTATTTCGCACGACACTCGGCCAGCGTTTCGATTCGAAAACTAAGTGACTTTTGGTTTGGGCCCGGTATATATGGTGAGCGTAAAGCGTTTGCCGGCTTTGCCATTATCGGCTTATCTGCAAACTTAAACGTTTTATTTCGGCCCAGATAAAGTTCGCCTAGTCTATAGATTAAGCTGCGATAGCGATAAGAAGGCATAGCGCTGATTTACACACTCCGCCATCGGCTACCAATCCAAACTGGCATTTTTTCTTTTTTTTTAAGATTGCCAGGCATAAATGGCATAAATGCTCCTCCGCCACCTATGGTGCATTGCACCCAATCTTATCGAGCGTTGCAGTCTCTCAAGGGAAAATGGTTGCTGATTTTGTTTGAATGCAAGGTGCTTCATAAGTAATAGAATAAAAATGAATAGGTTTGTCAGTTTTAGCAGCGAGTGACATCTTTTATGAACATCCCGAAGATTGTCGCCTGTCCCAGTTACTATCTCTTCGACTGGATTAACTAACGATATCGCAAAATGGCTTATCAACATTTGAACCACATTGTGTTACATATATTGTACTCTTTTAGGAACCTTTTCCCCTTATTGTTGATTTATGGGCGCCCAAAGCAAATCAAAACTTGATGGCAAGCGCCATTAAGGCTATTATAACTATACTTATAATTATACTATTGAAAATGACAACCGCCGATTATAAAAATGAACCCCCACTCAATTGCAGTTGAAAATGCCAACTTCAATTCAAAAAATTCAGCAAAACAATACCAATTGGGCTAAGATTTCGTGGACACATGGATTTAGTTGCCAAGGCTGATTACGCATGTATTTATGGCACCATTGTGGTCGTAAGAACACAGTCTTCTGACGTTGCAAAAGAGGAAATTTATGAGATCATCAGGCTTATCTGACCTCTTCGATCCGGCAACTCACGACCATAAACCTATGAAGGGAATTGTAAATTCCCAGGAAAAGCAAACAAGAGTAGTAGGGAACATACGGAATTTATTGCGCGCACGAGTGCACATCTATAACTAACTTAGGATCCTAGGAGCGGTTCTAAAACAGCTTGGCGGCCAAAAGGCAGGCAAGGATGGCCACAATGGAGGCGCTCAGGGCGGAGCTGCCGCTGCGGAATCCAGCGACCCAGCTCATCAGGGGATCCCTGTTGGAAGCCAGCCACGCGTAGTTGGCATTCACATTGCTATCCACGCTAGCCTGCAGAGTGCTGGGCACATACTCGGAGTTCTTGACCAGGTCCACCAACTCTTGCAGGGCGGTCTTCTGCTTGTCGTTGACCGTATAGGCGGAGATACCCACAATGTCGCTGTACAGAGGATTAACGCCACCAAAGCCGGAGTTGAGCTGGCCATACTGCTCCCAGTTCTCCTTCAGGAACTCAACGGCGACCAGCAGACCCACCTCGCCGCGGGAGTAGACCGGACTCAGCACAGTGATCCTTTCCTGATCCCTCAAGCCCTGCGGCTCAATGCTGCTGGACACGAACTTCTCCAGCTGGGCGGCGTTCTGGGAGCAGCCCAGAGCGGAGATCAGAAGACGACGCTCGGCCTGGTCGTTGGAGTTCAGCAGCTTGTTGAACACAAAGTCGAAGGTCTTGTCATTGGCCTGCTTCAGGCCGTTGCAGTACACCTGCGACTGCAGATTCGGCTCGATCCTGGTGCCCTTCTCCACCAGAGCCGTCAGCTTGGCCGTGGTCTCTGTCAGACAATTCTCCAGACCCGCCAGACAAGCAAGGTTGATCAGCACATTGCGGGTAAAGGGCACCAAATGGTGGTCACCTTTGTTGTCATTCACTCCGAACTTGTCGAACTGCTGGCTCACCAGTTCGCCGACGTAGAACTGGAAGTTGCCGTAATCCGCATCTCCGCTCAAATAGCGGTTGAGCAGGGTGATCACCGTGTTGGTGGCGGACCATGGAGAGTACTGATCCTCCTGGGGCAAGTACGTCAATAGCTCCAGCAATGTGGCATGGGGCACACGGCCACTGGTGACAAAGCGGTACAAGTCATTGATGAACTGGGCTCGGTTCCTGGAATCGATCTTGTGGGGACGAGTGGTCAATGCGTTGGTGATCAGTTTATAGTTTTGGGCATCGTAGAGCACGCGGTAGTAACCAGTGCTTTTCTTGTTCAAAACCAACCAATTGGTCGGGTCCAGGCCAGCGTTGATGGTAATCTCGGACTGATTGAGCAGATAGTGAGTGGCCTCGGTGTTGCGGAAGTCGGGATTGGAGAAGTCGGCATAGTTAATGGGCACATACCACAACTTGTCATTGGTATAGTCCTTATCGTTGGTGTACACCGACTGCTTAACTGTAAAGTCTCCGGTCTCGTAGTTACGGGTCACGGTCAGCAAAGGAACTCCGCCCTGGTTTGTCCAGCTACCCATCATATTATGCACGGTTGCTGGCACTGCATAGTCCTCCTCGACGGCAGCCTTGGCAATGCCATCGAAGAGCTTGCTGGGATTGGCAGCAGTGAATTGACTGGACAGATGGAGATTATGAACACGATATTAGTGACTGTGATGGACTTTAAAACTTGAAACCTACTTATCGACCAGGTAATTGTGTAGGCCGCGTTGGAAGACGGTGTTGGTCAGGGCATGGCGCCACATGTCCAGAACGGATCCGGCCTTAGCATAGGAAACGGAGTCATAGAGCAGGGCAATCTCCGAGGGCTTCTGGACGAAGTGGCTCATGGGTCGGGCATTGGCGCTGGCATCGTTGACCAGAGCGCTCTGGTAGGATCCAGCGTGGAAGGTCTGGAAAATGTCCCACTCGGGATAGGCCTGTAGTGGACATTAATGGACTAATTAGATAAACAACCGGGAGTTCTTCGATTATAAACGTACCAGGTCCACAGCCAAGTTCTCGAAGAGCGTGGCAAAGCCTTCCTTCAGCCAAAGGAAGCTCCACCACTCGATGGCCACCAGATCACCAAACCACATGTGGGCATCCTCGTGCGCCTCGATGGTGGCAATGTTCGTCTGCGTGCTGGTAGTTGAGTTCTCCGTGTTGTACAACAGGTACTCCTCACGGTAGGTGGCCAGACCCCAGTTCTCCATGGCTCCGGCGGCAAAGTCAGGGATTCCAGCCTGATCCAGCTTGGGCAGTGTATAGGGAACTCCAAAGTAGCCGGACAGCCGCTTCTCCACCAGCATTCCGGTGGTCAGAGCCCACTCCTGCTCATGCTCGGTTCCCTTGCGTGAGAAGACACGCTGTGGCAGGCCATTCAGCTCACCCTCCGAGAAGACAAACTCGGAGACAATAAAGGCCACCAGATAGGATGGCATATTCACGGTCTTTTGGAAGACGGTCACTCCAGCGGCGCTATGGAAAATAACAATTAATTTATGCATCCATTCAAGCGCTTGTGCTGATATCACCGTATCTTCGTCATAAACCCATGACGACAAAGACACGGTGGCATACTTTAATGAGTATAAACATTTTAAAACGGCCATATTTTCAAATGAAAATCAACCAATTGAATCATGTCATGGACAACAAATTACCAACCTGCTGCTAGTGTCCACTGGCATGTTGCTGATGGCATTGTAGCTGGGATCGTGCTGAATGGTGATGGTGAACTGCGCCCTCTTCGAGGGTTCATCGTAGCAGGGGAAGGCGTGGCGTGCGTCGGTGGACTCAAACTGGGTGGTGGCCAGGTACTTGGTGTTGCCCTGCTCATCCGTGTATGTGGACAAGTAGAATCCTCCGTTGTCCTTGCGCAGATGTCCCTGGTATTTGATCGTCAGAATCCATGTGGTGTCCTCGGGAAAACTCAGTCCCGTCTTGCTGAAGGTAAGGAACTCGCGTTCCGCTTCATATTCGTATACTAAATCCTGGGCCACGGCTCCAGTGACTCCCTGCTGAATAATGGAGGCCGTAAAGTTCTCCAGCTGGCGGGCATGGACCACGATTTTCGAGGTGGTGCTTGAAACGCTCAAGGTTATGGCCACGGTACCATTGAACACGGTGTCTCCCGTGTGGACATTGGTGCTCAAGGACACGGCATAATGACTCGGGATCGTATCGTTGGGGAGGCGGTAGTTGTCCTCGTCAGCGAAGGGAACCACCGATCGCTGCATGGGGTTCTCCAGATGTTGCAGGTTGTCGAAGACCGGGTATTGGCGCACCACCGCCGCTTGGGTGGCGGAAATGGCCAACAGAAGGACCAAGAACAGGGACATGCCCCCAACCTGAACGCGACTCATGGCGAAAACGCGAGAAGACTAAACTGCCAAAGTCCGGCGAGCCACTTTTAAGCGAGGCAGTGCATCTTATCTGGGAGCAGGCATAAAGATTACTCCAATCTTGTTACCCATAATGACCGTTACCAGCCAAGCACTGTATTATAAACTACTTTGGGTAGTAAATCAAGTATGGCACCAGGGCTTGATGAATTTGTATTTTCTGCAGGGTTAGTAACAATCTAACAATAGTTGGTAAGATAATGGCGAATAAGTGTGGGCATTTCAAGATAGACGCCCTGATAGAAGTCTCAAGTTGGTGAACTGGCCTTGATCTGATATTGTTAGCTGATTGTAAGGGAATGTTCTCACTCACCTTTAAAAATTATTTAACTCTATTACTATAATTGATGATAGAATATTATCTAATAATGAAAACAGCAATAGGTTCTGTACAAAACACGATCTTGAAAAGTAACAGTTATAACTAAAGTGGTCGTGCTGATATGATAGTGAAATATACACTCCTTGTTATCTATTATGGTACAACAGACTCCTCAAGTTCGCTCTTGAGATAAGGAAAGGCCCATTAATCTGCATGAAATTACTCAGCTATATGTGCAATACTATGCAACAGCCAGACATCTTCTAATAAATGGTAAAACCATTGAAACTGATTAGAAAGCCATTCAATGCGATTATTGTTCTTGAAAGTTCCAAATCACTAACTGATATGAGCACGTGAACTCCATAAACCATTCCAGCCATTGTAAATATCCACTTGATAATCGAATTTCCTACTAATCTCAACTATCAATCCTTTATGGATGCCAATGCCATTCCCGGAATAGCGATAAGATTGACCAATGCGAAATGTGGCAACTAAGCAATAAACCGATCGGTTCAGTTTCCCAACTTCCCAACGATACTTTGAACTTCTACCACCAGCGGACTCCAGTCCCAGCCCAAAACTCCCAGTATTATCAGTTCTATTTTCGATGTTGATTCATATTACTTTACTGAATTTATGTTTAATACTTGACCACATGAGTTATCTTATTATAGCCTGAACAGCAGCAGAGCCATCGCACTGACCAGGATCATGGTGATGGACGAGGTCAACGAGGGACTGCCGTTCTCCCTAATGGAAGCTTCGATCCAGTTGAACACTGGATCGCGATTAACTGCCAACCAAGCGAAGTTGGTTGCGATTCTGGACTCAATGCCGCTGCTCAGATCGTCATGGACATAGCTCGGACCTTCAGCCTTCACAACATCCACCAAAGCGTTGAGCTGTTAAGAAGTTAATAACAATAAGTTAGTAAATTAGGAGCCTGATTTCTATTTCAAGTGGAAAAGGAAAACATACCCTCGTCTTTTGCTTCTCACTGACCACATAGCTGGCAATGCCGCGCAGCGCGGAATCCAGGGGCTTTGCAGTCTGCGAAAGCTTCGCATATGCCTCCCAGTTGGTCTCCAGGAACTCCAAGCTGGCGGTAAGACCGATTTCACTGCGGGAGTAGGCCGAGTTCAGCAGGGAAGTGCGCTCCGAGTAGATCAAGCTATTGCTGGCGTCCAGGGAAAGTTTCAAGAAATCAATCAGCTGTTCCGTGCTTCCTGAGCAGCCCAACGAGGAGATGAACAGGCTGCGATCGGTGTAATCGGAGGAGCTCAGAAGATCTGACTGCACCCGGCTGTAGATGTCATTAGTGGTGGATCGCAGACCAGCACAGTAGGCTTGGGTCCTTAGTGTGGCCTCAATGGCAGTGCCATTGTATAGGTACTCGGATAACTTCTTAGCCGACTGGTTATAGCAATCGGTGGATCCCACCTGGCAGGCCAAGCTGACCAGCACGATGCGCAGATAGTTGTTCAGGTAATGCTCGCCGGGAATCTCGTTAACTCCGATTTTATCAAAGATGGGACTGATCAGGCCCCTAACGAAATTTTGGAAGTGGTAGTACGAATCGTCGCCACGCAAGTAAGTGTCGTAGACGCTCAGAATAGTGTTGGCAGTGGACCAGGGAGCATACTGCTCCTCATTCTCCAGGTAACCCAGCAGCTCCAATAGGATGCTGTGGCTCAGGCGCTCGGTGTTGACAAACACGTACGTATCGTACAGCAGTTGAGCCCTGTTGCGCGGATGGAACCTCCAGGGCTGGGACTTCAGTCCGGCCGCAATGAGGGCATAGTTCTGCACATCGTACAGGGTGCGATAGTAGCCGGAGTTCTGGATGTTCGCGAGTATCCAATCCTCGCTGGAAGCATCCACATCCGAGATCACGGTCTCTGCCACATTAAGCAGGTAGTGTGTGGCAGACGTGTCACGGTAATCGTACTTCTTGGCGGTGGCAAAGTTGAGTGGCACATACCAGGTTGCGGTATTCGCATCAGATTTGTTCGCCACGTAGCGCTTCTGGGTGATCGTTATAGTGCCTGCCTCGTAGTTACGGGTCACTGTGATCAGGGGATAACCGGCCTGTTGGGACCAGCTGCTGAAGATGTTGTCCACGCTGGTGGGCAGCTTAAGGCCCAGTTCATCGGCCGACTCCTGGAAGGCTGCAAACAGATCCCATTCGTCACAGGAGGTATATTGGCTGAGTGAGAAGAAAACAGAATATGTACGTTAGATATTTATACATTACAGATTCTAGATATTTATACATTACAGATTCTAGATATTTTTGCATAAATTCATAATATGTATTTATACAGTACAGATTCTGAATTTGTATACATTATAGATTCTAGATATTTATGCATTACAGATTCTGATATTTATACATAGCAGATTCTAGGTATTTATACAGTACAGATTCTGGATAATTATACATTGCAGATCCTAGATATTTATACAGTACAGATTCTGGATATTTATACATTACAGATTCTAGATATTTATGCATTACAGATTCTGGATATTTATACATTGCAGATTCTAGGTATTTATACAGTACAGATTCTGGATATTTATACATTACAGATTCTAGATATTTATGCATTACAGATTCTGGATATTTATAAATTACAGATTCTGGATATTTATACATTACATTCCAGATATTTATTAAAGATTTATTAAAGATTGGTACTCACTTCTTGGTCAGGTACTTGTTCAATCCAGTGCGGAAGACCTTGTCCGTCCAGGCGTTCTTGAACATGTACAGTACACTGGCGGGCTTGGCGTAGGAGAAGGTGTTGTACCGGCTGGAGATCTCGGACGGGGTCTGGACGTAGTGCGTCATGGGAACGGCCGAACCTATGGCGTCGCTGATTAGAGCGCTATTGTAGTCGCTGACGTGGAAGATCTGATAGGTGTTCCACTCTGGGAAAGCGATGTCGTTTGATTCGTACGAGAAGAGGGTAGCAAAACCCTCCTTGAGCCACAGATAGGTCCACCATTTCACGGATACCAGATCGCCGAACCACATGTGCGCGTACTCGTGTCCAATGATGTTGGCAATGTTCGTCTTCAGGTTGATCGTCGAGTTCTGCTTGTTCCACCACATGTACTGCTCACGGTAGGTGGCCAGACCCCAGTTCTCCATGGCACCGGCAGAGAAGTCCGGTATACCAGCTTGGTCCAGCTTGGGCAGGGAAAAGGGAACTCCGAAGTAGCTAGCGAGACTGGACTCCACAACCAATCCGGACCAAAGGGTCCACTCCTGCTGATCCTGCTTTCCCTTGCGCGAGAAAACCCGCTGGCGGATTCCATTCAGCTCTCCGGTGGTGTACTCATAGTCGGAGACGATGAAGGCCACCAGGTAGGAGGACATCTTAGGCGTCGTCTGGAAGGCGGTGACTCCCGAACTGAAAGGCAAACCTTCAATTAGTTAACTTATTTATCTGTCTACATGCAACCTATCAGTTGCAAATGTATCTAGCAGTGTCAACACTGCGTATGAGTAATGTTTCATTTATGAATGTGTGCTATAGCTACACTTCCATTATACAAATCTAGACATAAATTTCCATAATACACACCTGCTGGCAGCATCGTTTACGGGCATGTTGCTGATGGCAGTGTAGGAGGGATCGTGGTGGATGGTAATCGTAAAGTTGGCTCTGCGGGCAGGCTCATCGTAGCAGGGAAACGCGTGACGGGCGTTGGTGCTCTCGAATTGTGTGGTGGCCAAATAGCTGGAGAAATTGTAATATTCATGAGGTCTCTGTTAAACCGATAATTAATCTTTATTTGTGCACCGCGTATCATCGTACTAATCACAGATTGAAATGATAACCCAAATTGGGTGATAAGAAACTAGCCGAAAGTACTCAATCAAGTTATTAGCACGATAAGCTCTTGTACTTGTGCACCCATTCCCTAATCCATTGGAAGGCTACACAAGTGCACTTTGCTATTAGGGTTAAGGTTAAGTTCAAAGCTTGTAAATATTTTTGTTGTAATATTAAAATCCACTTACTGCACCTTGCCCTCATCATCCCTATAGCTGGAGATGTAGAAACCGCCCATGTCAGATCGGTGGATGCCCTTGTACTTGATGGTGATGGTCCAGTTGGTGTTGGCTCCAAACGGCTCACCAGCGGTTGTCTTCGTGAGGACGAGGAATTCGCGCTGCAACTCGAGGGTTACAGTAAGAGGAATTGCAGTGGGCGCGACCGCATCCCGGCTGATAATCGAGGCTTCGAAGTCCGACGTCTGGCGGTAGTGAAGCGTAATACTCGAGGTCTGCTCCAAAACACGTATGTCGATATTGACGACGCCATTGAAAAGGTTGTTTCCGGTATGGACATTGGTCCACAGTTCCACGTTGTAGGCCTCCGGTTCCGTATTATTCGGCAGTCGGTAATTGCCAGCACTATTGTCATCCACGCGGGGAGTGGCTAGGAGGGCGGCTCCCTTGGTCTCCAACTGTCCATCGTCCAGGGATAATGGAGGGATCAGGTGCGCCTGCAGGCTGCCTGCTGTCAGGAGCAGGATCAGCGAAAGCGAGTTCAGCAGCCATCGTGCCATGTTGGCTGCTCCGACAAAGACACTTTGTTATTGAGCGACCGCCGTTTGGACGCGGCTTTTTTATGGACTTGGCCATATCTAATCCCTAGCACCGATAGCCATAAAGATTGTTGCGCAATACTCGATAAAACCGGCAAAGCCCCGGTTATTGGCCCAGATTACACCTGGACAAGTCAGGTGTGAAGTTTAATTGGGCTGTAAAGCGATTAATCTACTCCGGTCCCAAAGAACTCGGAAGATGGTGCTCAATGGTGCAAAAATTCCCCGCACCAACAACTATTTAAGTGATTCAGTAGCGTAAGGCTTATCAAAATTAGCAGGATAACAATGCTATTCCGTTAATCTAATTCGTATTTTTAGTTTCATCATTGGGCGCAGTAAAATTTTGAATTATGACTTCGTCTGGAACGTGTAAGAGCCTTTAAGTACGGAAAAGTGCAAGCTGTTATAATCAAGCGCCATAATCACCACAGTCATAAATACTCGTGAAAAGCGACAATAAGTATCAATTAAGCTGACGAGGGGGAATAAATATTTCCAATGGGTATGCCTAAATATTCGGTAATTATTGTACGTAAACTTTCAAACTCAAGTAATAGCTGTCTTCAGTTTTTCATATTTTTATACAGTATGCCAAGTAATTATCAATTGTGCTTTTTAACAGTTTCTTTAATTGCTTTTAAAATGTATACCTAAACATTCAGTACTTATTGTAAGTCAGCTTACAAACTTAAGTAATAACTGTGTTCCGTTTTTATATTGTTATGCCAAGTAATATACTAGTAGTACTATACCAAGTAATTAACGATTTATTGGGCGTTAATGTACAATGTATAACTCATAAATTGTTAATAGTTGCTTAAATTGGTATTAAAAAGTCAGCATTACCCATTAATATGCTTCGCGCAAAGAAAGCTGTAGTTTTATTATCGATCACTCTTGTGTTTTATACTTTCTTATCAATTCCCCACGGATACGTATTCAGAATGTGTTGAAAAGCTCTTCGGATTGAATGATTTGAGTCCGACAGTATTGTTTTGAAAGAATTAATTTATTCGTAATTAAGCTTGTACTTATGTGGAACCTAGTTAGACCAAGACAATGGTCAACTATACATATCAACTATTCGCAGCGCACTGCGCAACACCCGAGTCGCCTCCTTTAGGACTCCTTGAGGACGACTTGACCCATTGGCCGCACTGAGGGAGGCGGACAAGAGGGCGTCACTACTGCCGGACGCCTGAGGAAGCTCGTTTAAGAGCCATTTGTGGATCTGCTGCTCGAACTTGTCCTGGAAATTTTCGGTGATCCTCATCTTTTTGCCCACCAGCGGCGAGTCGGCCTCGATCAGCGTTTGGCTCGAATTAAGACCCTCCTGCAGCATGTGGTCCGCAATAGTCTGTCGCAGCCTCTCAAACTGAAATAAATATATTTTAGCAGACAAATAGGATATAAAATAAAGGGCCTATTTACCTGTGATCTCTGGTGCCTGGGTACAAATCCGGCGAGCTGTTTAAAGTGCTCCACAAAGTTTGGTGCCCGACAGAGGAACTTGTAGTTGCGCTCGATATACTGCCAGATGACCGGACGAGAGGCCAAGTTCGATTTGTATATGTAGAGGAGATACATTAGGTCTTCGAATTCGGAAAGGACCATATGGGTGGAATTTTCACCCATCAGACCTTCCAGATAGTATAGCAGATGCCGATGACTCTGCGTGCACCGCAGGGCATAAATAATGTCATCGTAGTACACCGAACCGCGATCGATTTCCTGCATCATATCAATTACCCTTTGAAAGTCCTGGTCGCTTAGATACCGCACTCCCATGCACAACACGGAGTCGATAACGGCATGGTAATCCGATTCAACTCGTAAATAAATTTTATCAATAATATACTCCTTGGCCAGGCGACGTGTGTATTCCAGGCACTCCGGCAGATCCGCAGAGCAGGCAATCTCCAGTATCCCATGTGAGATGCCATCTTCAGGTAGATTCACACCGTGTTCCACATAGACGCGTCGAAATGTCGGGCCAATCAGGAGGCGCACAAACTCATTGAAGAGGCTCTGTGAGGAGGTGCCGTGCAAGTTGCGTGTTAGGCACTCAATGGAATCTTGCACCTGGTTCCAAGTCAGCACATCCTCCTCGAACTCCAGGTACTTCAGCATCTCGAACACCACTTCCATCTGCTCGATCTCGTTATGTTCGATCAGGGGACCGAGATCTCGAAAGAGGCCCAGTCGATTTATGGGATGGATGACCGAGTGATTTGTCTGCAGCTGCCTGGCAATGGCCATTAGATTATCTGTATCGTAGCGGACGAGATAGAAGCCGGTGTGCTGCTTGTTCACTATTATCCAATCCTTGCCGCTGGCCTGGATCTTCAGATCCTCCAGTGCTACTGTGTACTGTGGTTGGGGTGGCATAAACATATCCACTTGGGTGTCCTCGAAGTTGGGTGACTGTGTGGTGGCAAAATTGATTGGTATCCACCATAGCTCAGGCTTCTTGTGAACCGATCGCTGGCTAAACGTGATGGTGTTGTTCTCGTAGCTCCTGCTGACCACCACAATGGGCAGCCATTCGCTATGCGTCCAGGAGAGCATTATCTCCCTTATCCGGGACGCCCACGGCTGCTGGGAAAAGTACTCATCCTCCTGGAGCTCCGACTGCAGGGCATCGAAGAGGTTCAGCTCATTGGCCACGCTATAACGACTGGGCGAAAGAGCAGAGCACCTTGACCCATGAGTTCCAATTGACCAGTTCGCGAGGCCGTTCTCAAAAACTTACTATTTCTCCAGGAAGTGACTGATGCCGCGCACGAAGGGTTTCTGACGAAAGGCGTGATGGAACATCTTGATCACACATGCACTCCGCTTGTAGGAGATGATGTCGAAGACACCCATGATGTCCTTCTCACCCTCCACGTAATGGGACATTGGATGGACGTCATTGAAGCTGTTGTAGCTGTAGGCACTTTCCGCCTCGTGGTTTATAAACATGTCCATCATTTTGTCATCGGGGTAGATCTAAAAGAAATTGGCATAGTTGTATGAAGAAGGAACAATAATCTTTCATTACTAACCAAATCAGTAATCACATAGCTGAAATACGTGGCGAATCCCTCGTTCATCCAAGTGTATGTCCACCACTCCGGGGACACCAAGTTGCCGAACCACTGGTGTGCGATCTCGTGGTTCTGGGTGATCGTGTCCAGCTTTCGTTTGTGTGTATCCACCGATAGGTTTTTCAGCAAATTAACGTCCTTGTAGGTGATGAGACCCCAGTTCTCCATAGCTGCTCCGTAGTTCTTCTTGAGCGCCACGTGATCCAGTTTTGGCAAGGGATAGGAAATCCCGAAATAATCCTCGAGTGCAGCCACAGTTCGCACTGCATTTTTCAGTGCAACCTGACCCTTTTCCTTGGAAGTTGGCGAGGTGTAGATGCTTTGGGTGATCCCACGATATGTCTCAGAAATGCTCCCGAAGTCGGAGATCACAAAAGCCACGAGGTAGGTTGAAATCGGTGGTGTTGTGTGAAATGAGGTGGTCTTCAAGTCACTGAAAATACACAGAAGAGTTTAATAAGGCCTGAGATATATAATTATACACTTACCCATGAGAAAGTACTTCCTTAACTGGCATATTGGATATGGCGGAGTGACTGCTTCCGTGGGTTATCTTAAGGCTGAAGTTCGACTTAAAACCCGGCTCATCGTAGCAGGGAAAGATTTGACGACCATATGTTGGCTCACATTGCGTGGCGGCTATGTATCTGTAAGATTAACATTAACTGGGTCAATTGGCCTGCGCGCAAAGTGAAATCAAAGCATGATTAATAATGATACTATTGTACTTGTTGCCAAGAGCCATTGCTGTCTGCTGTCTGGCTAGAAATTAGAATTTAACAAAACCGCTTCGGTCCAAAATTCCCAATCCCATTTACAGATCATTGAACGCTTGACAAAAAACCAGTCACAGCCTGCGGCTGCCGGAATGATCAATCACATGGAGAACCTGCTCTCACTTCCACGGAACAATCGAGGCGCGTTATTCCCAACCGCCAAGTCGTGGGTCATGCGAATAAGTTGCCCAATCGGAATCAAAACAAATACAACCGTATGAAACACCGTCCGTTTATGTGGTTGTTTCACTATCAACGGCGCACTGATAAGATGCGACTCCTAATTGGTGACACAGTCATTCGCCTTCATGAAGAATACCCCCATTGAGCCCCATTGAGAAAACTTAACATCAACATCGTCACCCAGGTGACGCGTCCGGATCAACCGAATCCGCCATATGTGCGACGATCATCTACCATATGCAAACACACATATATATACGTCTGATAGCGATAAAGTCCGAGAGCGTTGTCTACGCCAGCGAAGTAATTAAAAAGCAATGCCAAACAAATGAAAATAATAACAAATTAAAAGTGAGAGCGTAGGCAAACCGAAGCCCCGGCACAAAATGCACGCCGGACCTATCTGCGTGTTATGTAAGATGGGCAAACTTATAATCTGAGTAAGCGCGTGCTCGCTACTGGCTTAAGCGCTTAAAGTTCATAAGCGGATAAGATATCCAGCTGTTCCTAAGGGTTAACGCACTTGAAGATAAACTATAGCCGGTAGCTTATTTTTAAACACAAAGGAAAAAAAAAGGAGAAAGGAAGTGCGGCAAAAGAAAAGATATTTTCTACACTTAACAAAGTCAACTAGAGGATTTCCCGCTCTTTGTGGCCACGGAAGATATACACTCACACGGTGCGGTTGCTTTCCTCATCCCGATAATCCATATAGTAAAGTCCGGCTGGACGCGATGCCATAATAGCCGTGTAGAGTATCTCCAGGCGATATTGCTGCCCCTCCTCGAAGGCCTGGTAATTCCCAGTGGGGTGAATGATGAGGAAGGCCGCCCTGGGATGCAGCGTATGTGTTAGATCGTCCACGATCTGGGATCCTTCGGCGGTCAGCCGGTGCACAGTAATCTGAATATCGGTTAGGTTTTTGGCGTGCAGCACTATCTCGTTCGTTGAGTGCCGGATGGCTACGTCAATGGTGGCATTTCCGCTGAAGAGCAGCTGGCCCTTGTGAATGTCACTGGATATGTGCAGTTGGTAGAACAGCGGGTAGGTGGCGTTGGGCAGTCGCAAGGATCGCTCCCTTTCGCCCTTGGATCCGCTGACCAGCAGGGCCAGGGTCACCCATACCACCACTACCGAAAGCCGCGCAATCATGGCGATACGAAAATCGTGGATCGGATCGAAAAGTGTATCTGCTCGCGCCCTGGCAACCGCAACTCAACTGAGCGACGGCTACGAGCATGCCGATGGTTATAGCTAAAGCCTCACCAGACCCGATTAGATAAGCGGGCAGACTGATCGATGGGCATTTGTATAAGAGAATACTCACATGTACTCACATATGCTCGCAAGTGGGCAAACAACTCGATTCGCTTGGAGTGAGTCGCACTCTCGAGGGAGCGGCATTGAGCAGGTCACGGTGCGGTCCTTGGCACACTAACAACACACACCCCGAATGCGGGCTTTCCACCAGAACGCACTCTTTCCCTTCAGCAGGTGGTGGTACTCATCCCCTGGGGTATGCTGGTACTATCCTGCGGCTGTTTCACTTGGGAGGACAACCCCAATCAACCCCTGAGTGTGTTTAGTGCATGATCACCGGTTTCTTGCAGTGCAACGGTATTTAAAAAATAGTTCTTACACATTTTTTTGTTTTATTAGCTTATGGGTAAAATATCCATGTGTATTTCCTCTATTGCTTCTGAGAATGGTTCTGAGTATTACTGATTAGGAACGACCCATTTGTCATTTCGGAGATTATCAAGAGTACCCCTAATATAATTGTTGGCGGAACACTCAGCACCTTTCATAGTAAATATTGATTTATATCTTCACCTCCATGCGTACACTTATTTTCGAACTGTCATTAGTATTGGACTCATAAAAGATAAACTGGAATGCATATTAGACGGTATCTGGTAGTCACAATACCGCTGTACTATTACTCACCGTTTTCGAAGTCTCTTCTCTTCGTTCTCGCAAAATCGAGATCCCTTATATGTGGCAATTTAAAAGCAGATTGAGTCAGTTGAGTGTTCACTTTGCCAGCGAGAAGATGTCGCCAATTCCTACGATCATTGGATTGTATCTTTCGCTCTTCATCCTGAGCAATGTGGATGCATACAGCACAAAATGTAGTCCCGTCTTCGGAGTTGTAAGTCTTGTGTAGATACCAGATACCAGATACCTATTAATGAATTTACTAAATTCCAGTGTTACATGCACACGGATTGCTGCAGTGGCAGATGCTTAACTTACGGCTCATATTGTGGCTATCCGGCGCACCGTCTTACAACAACTTATTTGAGTCCTAACGAATTCGCCAGTATCAAGAAAAAAACAGCAAAATCAATCAATGACGAGGTGAAAGTTTTCGGCCTACCTAGTGAGTCAGAACCATCGAATGATGTTTTTGATGTTGATTCAAACCCGCATTCAGCCGTAAAATGCTACAATGTTGGTGAACCCGTAAGTTTACCTCTTTATCAATTTGGGAAACTTTCTCCTCCAATTTGTACGTGTTTTTCAGTGCTCCCGGGCTGAAGAATGCTGTAACTTACGATGTCACACTTATATGCACAGATGTGTCACCTGAAGTAATTCATGGCAATGACACACAGCTAATTACCAAAATATTTCAGATTCGTCAAGGGCGCGGCCCTTTATATTTTCATTGACAATAATAGCATCATTCTCAAATAAATGGGGCACAACAGCCCGTTCACTAAGTCAAATAAAAGGATGTAACCATGCTGAAAACTTATAAATAGTTATAAAGATATTTTATCACAATAAATAAATAAAGCACACTACTTCATCGTTTTGGTTAATCATGAATTGTCAACGAGCGCTTTACAATAGATTTCTAAAGTGCGGGTTTTTTGATGATGGTGAAAATTCCCTGTATTCAAATGAAGTGATAAATGTGTGTATTTCCAGTATCATTACAATAAGTAATGTGTAAGTTGTGGTGAAAATCTTCAGAATTTTCTACGCTCTTTGATGCCAAAGCTGTTTTTAAAATAACAAGATAGGCTCTAGATTACATTTATATTTCTAAAATATTTAAACAAAGCCTATCCTGTATATAGGTTTTAAGACTAAACAAACTGTTTATTTATTTAAAGCAATACATATTTATTGAGCAATGAGAACACCATGAAAGCATCACAGGAGTGGGGAACACTTAAAGTAACCTTAACCCACTTAAATCCAGAACAAGTAATTCAGAGGGCACACCTCACTGGTACTTAAACGCTGATTGTTCAGATAGGTCATGTTGTTCAACCCATATCTCGTTCTATATCTGCTATTTGTATCGTTTCTGATGCGTTGACATTAAATATTGACGTCGGCAATACCCAATTATCTCGGGCGTCTTGACACAAATGTAACCCGACTTCTTGACTTGGGCAAACAAAGGGACATGTCCAACAATTCCAATTGATAATTGCGGCTGGGTCGGTCAGGCCATAATTGTGGAGTTTAAAAGCCAAGCTCCTGCCAACTGTGATACTTAGTTCAGTTTGAGTTAGAAGTCGATTTGAAGTGATGATGCTCGCCATATTAATGGTCCTCTTAGTGTTTGCTGTAAGCGCTATTCAAGCTTTTAAATACCCCTTTCTCCATTGTTTTATTTATTTAGTCGCAAATAGGGGCTCTGCCCGCTGGCAAGGACTCATCTGCGAAGGATACGAAGTTGCCACTGATATCCAAGCCGCCGCTGCAGCAGCAGCTGAATCCGCTCAACCAGGACGAGGTCACCATGTTCACCAACATGTTCCTCAGCCTGTTCCGCGGAGTAGCCGACTATCGAAACATGGTGGCCGCCGAATCAGTCCAGAGTGTTTGGCAGAGTCCGCCAGTTGTTGACTTTAGCCACCGGCTCTTTGCCAGCTAGAAACTTTGTCATTCAATCCGAAACTGTTTTGGCCAAACAAACTGTAATTACATTGCCGATAACAATGCTCTGTTTTTTAATTACTGGCGGAGGAATGGTATAAAAGAGTTCTGCAACACGAACAGTATTTGAATTACAACATGAAGCTCAGTGCTGCACTCATTATTGTCATTCGGATGTTTTGGGGCATGGCCATCGCTTTTCCCATTCATCAGTTCGAACGACACATACCCTATGGCATGGATGACTTTTATCCATTTATTGCCAGAAATTCCTCCGATGTGCTGCCGTTGTCTACAAATCTAACGCAAGTAATTAGCAGAGATGTATTTAAATTGAAATGTTTCTTGTACCATCAAGTATTTATGCCACTAGATAGAACGACTGCGATGGGCCGATAAGTGTGTGCAGTTTAGAAATAAGTGCACATTAGCAGAGCACTGTTGCAGTTTAAGATGCCTGAAACGTTATCATCGATGCACCACATAGCTGTTTACAAATGATTTCACCCTAAAAGTATCTTATTTAAATAAAAAATCTTTTAACTAGATGAGCGTGCCTCTCTCTGTTCACTTTGCTAATAAAATTAAACCGTAGCTCGTTTCATATTCATCGCCAACTGAAACTTAAAAACAACACTTATCTTTTAACTTTGCGAGTATGAAGATGTTGATTGCGCGACTGGCGTTTTTAATCTGCATTCTGGGCTGTGTGGCTGGACTCCAGAAACTGGACTCCACTGCCAGTTCCACGAATACTGTCAGGTCTTGTCAGCCAAGTGGAGGATATGTAAGTCCCTCATATGTAATAAGCCATTTAAATTATGTATATTTGAATTATAGTGTCGGTTGCATGTGGATTGCTGTTCGGGAATGTGCATTCAGGTGTCAGCAGAGTGTCGTTAGAAGAAATCGGCCACCTAATGTTTGGAGTTTGTTATAATAAAACATACATAAATAATTATCTGCTTGTGGGTACTTAAAATGTAATGTTTAATGTTTAATACCACTTTCTACCTAACAATTTCTACAAAAAGTGGAAAGGCTCTACCAAGATTTAATAAGCACTTCATCGAATTATTCAGAACGTCGCCAAACAATAGTACTTATCTATTACCTGATCTTAACTGATTGCATATGTTGAAAATGTAAGGCAAAATCATCAGTTTAGTTATACCCGTTACTCGTAAAGTAAAAGGGTATACTAGATTCGGTGAAAAGTATGTAACTGTATGAAGTGTATATATTCTTGATCAGGATCAAAAGCCGAGTCAAAAAAGTGTGCCAAGTCTTAAGTTCTAAACTCCATAACTCAACTTATCCCTATCGGATGTTGAAGTGGCATACCTCTAAATGTTTCTGGCGCAATTCTCTAAACATCTGCATTCAAATTTAAAAATTTATTTTTTTTAATTATTTTTGTCATTTTTCTGATGTATGATGTTGAAGAAATTAAAAATAATGAAGAAATGCCCCAAGGCTGAAGTTCTAAACTCCATAACTCAACTTATATTAATCGGATTTTGAAGTGGCATACCTCTAAATGTTTCTGGCGCAATTCTCTAAGCATCTGCATTCAAATTTAAAAATTTATTTTTTTTTAATTTTTTTGTCATTTTTTCATGTGATGATGTTGAAGAAATTCCAAAAAATTAAAAAATGTCCCAAGGCTGAAGTTCTAAACTCCATAACTCAACTTATATTAATCGGATTTTGAAGTGGCATACCTCAAAATGTTTCTGGAGCAATTCTCTAAACAACTGCATTCAAATTTAAAAATTTATTTTTTTTAATATTTTTGTCATTTTTCTGATGTATGATGTTGAAGAAATTAAAAATAATGAAGAAATGCCCCAAGGCTGAAGTTCTAAACTCCATAACTCAACTTATATTAATCGGATTTTGAAGTGGCATACCTCTAAATGTTTCTGGCGCAATTCTCTAAGCATCTGCATTCAAATTTAAAAATTTATTTTTTTTTAATTTTTTTGTCATTTTTTCATGTGATGATGTTGGAGAAATTCCAAAAAATTAAAAAATGTCCCAAAGCCGAAGTTCTAAGCTCCATAACTCAACTAATCTTAATCGGATTTGGAAGTGGCATACCTCTAAATGTTTCTGGAGCAATTCTCTAAACAACTGCATTCAAATTTAAAAATTTATTTTTTTTAATATTTTTGTCATTTTTCTGATGTATGATGTTGAAGAAATTAAAAATAATGAAGAAATGCCCCAAGGCTGAAGTTCTAAACTCCATAACTCAACTTATATTAATCGGATTTTGAAGTGGCATACCTCTAAATGTTTCTGGCGCAATTCTCTAAACATCTGCATTCAAATTTAAAAATTTATTTTTTTTTAATTATTTTTGTCATTTTTCTGATGTATGATGTTGAAGAAATTAAAAATAATGAAGAAATGCCCCAAGGCTGAAGTTCTAAACTCCATAACTTAACTTATCCTAATCGGATTTTGAAGTGGCATACCTCTAAATGTCTCTGGCGCAATTCTCTAAACATCTGCATTCAAATTAAGAAATTTATTTTTTTTAAATTTTTTTAATGTATGATAAATTTTTGTAAATTATTTTTTTGCAATTATACCCGTTACTCGTAGAGTAAATAGGTATACTACATTTTTTGAATAGTATGTAACAGGCCGAAGGAATCGTTTCCAATTTCTACTGATAGTCGGGGAACTCGACTATAGCATTCTATCTTGTTTTAATTGTGGAAACGTGATGATGTTGATTGCCCGACTTGGATTCCTGTTGTGTTCATTGGGCTATATAACTGCGATATGTCGTCCATTGGGTCACAATATATTAGATGCCAATGCCATTTCCTACATGATATTTTAGTCCCAGTGTAAGTCGCATGAGGATTGCTGTTCGACGATGTGCCTGACCCACCTGGGCCAATGTTCCCCCAAAAGGGGAGATCAGTGGTAATTAGTGATCAGTGGCAGCCGGTCTTGAGCCACTATTCAGAAACCTATGTTCCATCGCCTCGTATTGCCAGCTCATCCTCTTTCATCAGTTTAGACACCCATTCGACTGGCAATAATAATAAAGCAGTGCCGCATCAACCGACAGTGTGAAGTGAAGTGTTTGGCTGCTCACAATCAACTTATGTGTGCGGCTGCTTGTGTTTGTCAGCGTTTACGCTTACCAGCAAACAATATTTCCGCCCACAAACACAGCGAGACATTTGAGCATTGAGCAGACAATGCGACAAAGCGGCATCAATGCGATTTTTCCCACTCATAGACATTTGCATTGACACACGATTGCGATGGGCTGTTATAGTATAGTTTGCATGGTGTGGGATTGATGGTGAATGGGGAACCGAGTGTCTCCGAGTGATCCTTTCCCCTTTCAGTGCACACAAAGCGCACACAATGAGTTTAGACAGCGATTGTTTGGCTTTCTTGGCGCGTGTTAGCCGCTTCCTTTGTTGTTGTCACGCCCCGACTTTCCATACACATATACATAGGTACGAGTGCTGCAGTTGTATCAACAATGGCCGAAAAGACCCATTAAAATATGGCCAACTGAAACTGGTATATACTTTTATGGTCGCCCCAGCCCCCAAGAGTATGCTACATAAAACTGCAGCATAGGTGACCCTTTTCACGCGTTTCTAAACGACCATTAACCGCAATCTGCCGATTTTATGTCTTTCTCCCCGCCGAAAAATTGATTATTTTTGCAAACTTATTGTGTAGTTTGTTGGCGCACGTGCCAAAGCCGCCAGGATCTACATGGAAATCGCATTCATAGTTGAGTGTTTCTGGCTGCATCGAATATTTATACAAGGAATTTCTTTTGGTTTTTCGTTTCTTGCTTTTTGCATTTGAAATCCCATGTTTCCCAGCATGCGGTTATTATTTGGCACTTACTGGTGCTGCCGAGTGCTGTTTCCCTTACCCCTCGCAAAGGAAGACATCAAGAACTGCGGAACCGGAAGATATTCAGGGCATGCAGCCCCCCAAAAGTGGGGTTGTTTCCCCAGCACCCCTGCTCCAGCGATAAGAGATGCCAGCTTGATGAAGTTTTTGGCGGCAATTCCTGGCAGGAAATCACTTTTGGTCCCGCAAAAAGAACCAATGTAAGATGAAAATCGATTGCTTTTGGCCATCAGCGAATTCCATATGCAGATTCATTGACCTAAAAGTATGCAACTCCAAAGAAAAGCAGCCAATTCATCACACACCTTTCATTTGCAGCGACGCGCGTCTTTAAGGCCAACTTTCCTTTAATGGCTTATGCCATTGAATTGCGTAATGTATGCAGCTGTGTTAAACTTTTACATTGCACGTGTCGGCAGACACTTAAATGTCGAATGAATAATTCCGCCTGCCACCATCAGTCGGCAAAGTTTTATTGCTCTTGCCACACGAGCGAGTGGCAGGCACTGAGTGCTAAGAAAAACACAGAGCAGGTGCCGCAGGATTGCCAAATAACTTAAAGCAATTCGCATTCTGCCAGCTGCTTAATTGGAGTTCACAGCAAACTAAATGATGCCCAGAACCTTCTTACCGGAAGCTCCTTGCCTGGAGTGCATTGCACTGGTTCGCCATCTAGAAGGATACGTGGCGTATACGTGATGCGGACAGTGGCCAACTGACTGACTAAGCAGGCAGGCCGACTTATCAGTAACGACCTTTCTGCGGGCTCTTATACATAAATACCTACTCCCTGGGAGTGGAAGGTTTATCAAAACGAAACATAAAATATTCAAAAAGTTCGTACTTCAAGCACCCGACTAAATACTCTTAAAATATCTTAAAGGGAAAAGACCGCTTCCTGTGAAGATATAAATGCTTCATAAAATTATGAAAATTTTCCTACACCATTATTCGAAGGTACACCAAATAATAATTAATAAAAATATACTTATGGTGTTAAACTCTCGAATAACCAATTTCTTTGGCAAACGACAGCATCCAGTGTCTTGACTTCCCCATTAGGGAAGTATTTGCAGCTTGAAAAGGATTTCTTTTTTGTAGGCAGCACATATGTTTATATTTGCATTTGTGGCTGAGGCACAAAAAACGGGGATTTCCAACGCGATGGTGTGTGTTTTGTGAGTCTGGCCGGGGCCATGAAATTGATTTTAAATGCGGAGCTGACTGAGCCATGGCATACAGTGTGTCAAAGGACAGGGCAAACAGTCGGCAGCGACGATGATGATTATGATGATACCCGCGCCGTTGAGCCACCGATGTCGTTATCCTCGGATGAAACCGCACGTATGACAAGTCGTTAGTGCCGACTTAACTGGCAAAAGGAAAAGCCACATGAGCAGCAACAGCGGCAGCAGCAGCAGCAAATCAAAGCGAGTGTCCATCAACATTATGAGACTCTCGCCAGAATCCGCAGACTGGGCGGGAAAATGGAAAAGCGGAAAAGCGGAAAAGCGGGGAAGCGGAGAAGCGGAGAAGTGTCAACGCTTGTCAGGACGGCCATGACCAAACGGAGCCTGTTTGTGAGCAGCGGGCAAAACTCATTATATTTCTGCACGCCGCTCCCCTCGCCTCGTTCATTTTGTATTTGATATTTTTTATTTTTTCCAATTGAAAGCGCCGGCCCTTTAATGTTTGTTTCAGTTTCAGTTGCTGCTACTCTTTTAATCGCAAGCACGCACACACACACTCGTAATACAAAAGGAACTGTATGCCACTGTCAGGCAAACGCTTTGATGTGTCAAGCGTTCGATGTGAAGGCGGCGGGCGGAGGAACGAAATTAATAACAGGGGATGCGAAATTTGCATTCAAAGGCGGCCCACTGACAATGTAATCGGAGTATCACGGAACTGACCCCGGCTTTAAGGCGACCTTTGGACGACTTTGGAGGCGGAGTGCGAGTTCCTCGCCGAGAAAATTTGCATTTATCGACAGGAGGTGAGCGGCGGTAAAGTCTCATTAAAATGTAATTGCCCATTAAAAGAGCGACCAGGCGGCTTGACTCCGCGATTTGTCCACTTTGCTGTTTTGGGTGTATCGGATTTTGTTTCAGTATCCGGCTGCTCTTTGTTTCGAGTTGTTGCCCCGTTAATTGAATTGGCAAAATGACAAGCAAAACGATTTCTTTTGTATGCCCACGGGCAGCTGGCGATGTCCACTTGGGCACTCGTTACGCATACGCTCCGTGTGCCACACAAAACATGCCCCGTGGCAGTGACCGCACATCGAAACGAAGCAGCCACTCAACGGGCACATGGAGAAAAATTTCCAGCAAAATATCATTATTTCACTATTAAAATGCTTGAATGTTTCTAAATAAGCTTATTAATTGCACCACAAAACTAAGTAGTCGACAAAATTTTGTAAGTACAATTACTTTTCGCTGCACTTTCACACTTCATGCTGTGTGACATGCCCACTTTCTGTCCATTCAAATCGTCATTGTCAGCAGTTTCATTACTCATCGAGAAGTTTGCTCTTCGTTGTCAACATTTTTCTTCTGTTTTTATTTTAGTTTTGTGCTTTTGCCTTCTGGGAGTCGGTAAGGCGTGACCCCACAAGCAAAACAAAAAATGCCAAACACAAGTTTCCTTTTTAGTAGTAGTACCCGTAGCTTCGCTCTTTCATTTCCATTTCACCTCGATGGTCTGATTCGATGTTTGCCGGCTTGACAGTTTGTTTGGCCCACTTCCAGCTGCTAATTGTCCGGAGAATGGCAACTGAAAGCGGCAAGAAACAAAGTTTCATAGAAGAATTGATCTCCCAAGCTAGGAAGAACTCCCAGTACTCTGCCAAAAGTTCCTTTAAGATGCAGTTAAATACATTGACATTTCCACTTGGCTTACTTTCAACAATTACGTCTAAGGGATGCTAACTCTTTACACTGACCGCACTGACACTGGCAGTGTAAATATTTAAACCTAATTATACACGCAGAGTGCCCCAATCATTTTTCTGTGTTGTTCGAGGAGACGCCACAAACGGCGGCAACAGCGGAACTCAGTATGGTGTAAAAGGATTTCCTTGTACAAAACGTAAGCCTAGCCATTGCATATTAAACGTGCACACACATTCTCATTCACAAAGTGCCACAAAAGCCAAGTTAAGTCCTTTAGAGAAGCATTGCGCATACGCAATGTGGGCATTCGGGTGTCGGAGTGCGAGCTGCTGACTGTTTTAATGAAATTATCTGTTACACATTGGCCGGCAAACCCATTCTGTTTTCAGTTATTAATTCAATTTTTGCCAGCAGCAACTCAATTTTGGTACCACTTTTGTGGCTTCAGTTGACGGTCATTCTGGCGACTTGCCGTAGACAAAGTTAGCTAAAAAGTTATCCCTTGCCCGAAAAGCTCTTACCTCCTACCTATGCGATTTAGCCGTGCGAGTATGTTGGCGATTTGTTTGCATTCCACTGTCAGCACTTATCGCAGATGCAGTTGCAACTCCGGGTTGCCACGCAACGGCAGCCAATTAACTACGAATCCCGGACAGAAAGGCAACTCAGCCGAGGTCCTGACCGCGTGTGTGCTTTTGGCTGGCTGCCAGTTCTAATTACCCTTCCGAGTTGTCTGATTTCCAAGTGATTTTTTAATTAACTAAGCTGCAAACCGCTGCCAAAGGTGCGCAAACACAAGGAGCGAGGACACAGCTCGATTTCAGCTGCAAATTGGGAGTGACATTTGCCTAATCTCAGTCGGGCAGGGATTTCCACATGGTAAGAACAGAGTTCGTTATGCAGGTCAAGCTTTTCCGTTTGGAATTATTACTCTTAAAGGTTAGAAATACTCGTGCAAATATGCAACTGCCAAGATAGAAATCAATACAAATATAGCCAACAATTTCCAATACCACCATTTCGACCATATTTCTGACGGATACTTTTAGAGCCCCAACTAGAGTTCGCTAAATATCCCACTTTCATTTGAATGGAACCACAACCGCAGTGAGCGCCATGAAAATGCAAATTGCTCGCACTCACG